TTGCAAACATTAAAAAGCAGAAAAGCAAATGATGAAATTGGGGGTGACAACCCTGCACGCTCAGGACTAGCTGTTTTCTGGAGAATGATACTGAGTCCTCTCATTCCAGGGAATTCTAGGTAATTGCCGGAGGCAAAATCTCTGATGGAAGTCTTCATTTGTCTGGTAGGGCATGCTTTGAGAGACCACCATTACTTATGGGGACAAGCTGGTGGATGCTGTGTTCTAGCAGAAATAGCAATAGAACTGAAAACTGACGAAATGTCTGTTGTTAAAGTCAACTTTATGGAAAGTCCCTGAAGAGAGCAGAAACCTTATCTGTCACTAGTAAAATAAACTCTCATGTGAAGAACTTCTTTCTATATAGAAAACAGGTAGCCATGAAGTAACATGATTATAAAGCTACTGAAGACCTTTGCCCAGGTTGGCCTCATTGCCTGGTGACTTGCTTCTGTCTGCCTGTCTTCACTCTCTTTATTCAGCAGTTCAGTAGAACAGTTATCAGCAACATGCCCGACTTCATCACTAAAGCGCTCCACTATAAAACTATTCATAAAAGCATGAAAAGCAGTGCCACAATAAGTACCATGATAGAAACATAACATTCTTCTTGCAATAATTCCTGCAAAAGTGGGGGAAACTTCCCAAGTGGTGACCTTCAGGCAAAACAGGCATATTTAGAATAACACACATCCTACCAGGGCCATAGAAAAACAAATAATGTAGCTAGTAGTAGCACATCACACTGCAGGCTAGAAAACAATTTTGCAAGACTCACTGCCACAGGAAGCCCTCACTGTGTTTCTACTCTGACAAAAATGAGGAATACGAACATTTAAATGCATTCATCCCAGAGGTCCAAATAGCAGATTCAGCGTCAGCAATCTGAATGCTGCTCTTTCCTCCCGTAATGGGTTTTCACTGTGAACAGCCAACAGTCTCTCTCTGGGCAACGGTTTAGGGTGTAGGTTCAATTTTGCTGGAATCAGGAGAGAAGTCACTCTGACACATTCTTTCTAAAAGAATGTTTTGTTTTGATTAGTAAAACAAAATTAGCTGCTGGTTGTAAGGCAAGTAATCCTGTAGCCTAACAGAATTCATTCTGCATGAGGAACCCTGAGTACGAATTCAGCTTCCATCTGTGTGACTGTGTTCTAATGCTCTTTACCCTAGAAAAACAGGCCATAGTTCTATACACATTTCTCTATATCTGCTGAAACATGGTCAAGTCTCATTTGTAAATTTACCTTTGGAAATTAGCTGTAAAAATCATCCTTATATTCCACCCCTTGGGAAAAGTTGAAAAGCATATTTGTACTTCACCATTAAAGACTGCAAAAGCACTACTGACTCTGAAATGCTTAATACTCTTGTAAAGTATATCCGTATACTTGCTGTGAGAAATACTTTCATTTATAGCTTAATGTTTGACAGCTGGCATCATCCAATCTACCCATGCCAGGGGCCACTGTGGAATTAGGACTAATTAATATTTGCATTTCAGCTTGGGCTACCCTAGCAGGTAGGGTAAAGGTCTTGGAAAGGAAAGAGGATGACTAGTAGTGTAACTCTTAAAGTACCCCTTAATCTGCTGGCCTTTCTAAGGCTTACAGAATTATACAAGGTTCAGTATTTCCTATTTTATCACTAACAGCTAGTACCAAGTATGCTGGAACAAATGTCTAATTTGAATGAAGTCTAATTCCAAAAAGTTTCTCCATTTCAAGACAAAATCTAAAACAGCAAACCAAACTCAAGCTCAACTCAAGCCTACGATGGCTCCACTGCTGAGAACTGAATTGCCAATGTTATTTGTCCAGTGGTCAGCACTGCTCAAGAGCAGTCTTCTAGTACTGCCTGGGATCCAGAGAGGTGAGCAGGCAAGTACTGGGACCACATACTCACTATTTGTAGTAGGCAGATCTCCATTTCTGAGCTGAACACTTGAGGACAGCTGCTGAGGCAAAATGCTTGCGCTGTAGCCGGAAATTGTAACCCTAGGGTTCTTGGGAAAACACATTTGGTAGTGTTGGACTAGGCAGATGTGTTTAGGAATTCCACAATTGGAGAACACGGTTCTGGCCACTTAGTTTGCCAGAATGGCGTCCACATCCTCTTCAAAGATGCACCTGTAGAAGCTGCTGGCAGTGGGGACTGGTTGGGGTTGGGGGTGAGAGTGAAAAGTTTTACTCCCTGATTCTAGAAGACAGGAATCACACTTGTAATCCCAAAAGGTGATCAGAAATGTTATTTTAAAATTCGAAAACAGATCCACAGAACACTGACTCTAGTGACAGGTGTTAGGTTTGGGGCAGGCTCTTTAAGTGGAGAAGGTTCCCTGCCTTCATCAAAACATCTTATATCTAGGCAACTGGCTGCCAAACTGCTCCTTGCTCTCCTGTCATTTGGCTACCTTCATATGCCGATTCTTTTCTTTTCACAAAGAATGCAGGAAAAATATATTATGTTCTCCCAGAAACATCTGTCCATTTGTCTCACAAGGTAACAGCTCACTGACAACACACCTAAGTTAGCCAAGAGCTCTGATGAAGATGTTCAAGAATAATGTTGTTTCTATGCCTGCTAACATATCTGTTCTGTAGTCCATGGATAAATGTGCAGTTGTGACTTTTAAACTCAAATCATTTAAGTAACAGTTGGAGATTCTGCCAAGATGGCCAAATAGGAACAGCTCTGGAGCACAGCTCCCAGTGAGAGACACAGAAGGTGAGTGATCTCCACATTTCCAACCAAGGTACCAGGTTAATTTCAGTGGGACTGGTTGGACAGTGGGTGTATCCCAGTGAGAGCAAACTGTGCCGCGGCGGGACACTCCTTCACCCAGGAAGTGAAAATGACCAGAGGACCAGGGACTTCCCCTGCCCCTGGCACTCTGGTTCAGACACTATGCTTCTCCCATGCCCTCTGCAACCCACAGACCAGGAAATCCCCACTGGGCTGAAAAGCAAAGCAAGTTGCCAACACAGATATGAGCAGTAGCTCTGGCAGACGCTAAAGGTTGTTGGCACAGATCTAGGTGAACATTTTGACTAGCACCAAGAGCGCCTGCAGGACGGAGTTACCTACTCCCCAGAAAGTGGGGAAGCTGAAAGCAGGGAGACAGGTGATATGGCTGGGCAGGTCCCACCCCCAAAAAGACCAGCAAATTGAAGCCCTCTTGCTTCAGTTTCACATCTAGCACATCAGTTCAAGCTTGACCCGTAACAACTGAGCTTGTGGGGGGAAGGGCGTCCACCATTGCTAAGCCAGGTCCAAACCTACCTGTGTAAACAAAAGCCAGAGGAAGCTTACAAAGCAGCGGAACTAAGTCTGTGACAGCCCAGCAGCACTTCTTCAAGAAAAGGGAGAGACTGCCTCCTCAAGCAGCTCACTGACCCCTGTATAACCAAAAAGATGCCTTACAAATAATGAGATTTGCTCCCACTTTCCAATTTATCTCATTACTTTTACTTGTCTTTAATGCACTGGCTAGGACATCCAAGAATACTGTTGAATATAAGTTGTAGAGGGTATCCTTGTTTGATCCATCAAAACAATTCTTCTAGCACTGTACCCTTGTATATGATGATTGCTAGAGATAACTTTAAACAAGTTAAAAATTTCTAGTTTGGTAAGTTATTTTTTTTTTAACCAAACATAGTACGGTGGTTTTAAGTGTAATCTACTTCAGCTAAAGACCATGAGTCTATTATTATCACGATTCAAACTCATTAATAACAAACAGTATGTAACAAATCAGTTTTATGTTCTACTTTAGCACCCAGGAAGCTCAAAACCAAACCATCTAAATGTAACAACTCTACACACCATAGCCTGCTCATCTATGTGACACTGACACCATTATGTCCCCCAACATACCACCGACTCTTATTTTTCTATTTTATTGAATGGACTTCCTATCAATTGCCATAAATTTTTAATGGAGTAAGATAAAGTAAGAATAAAAACTTTAAAAAAATGTAGCTGCATTTGGACTTAAAGTGAAAAATGTGATACAACCAGGATAGTATATCACATGGAGATCTAAGACTATGACTAACAAACCTCCTAGGTGATGCGAATTAAGAATCTGGTTCAGAGGAAATCAAGTATTTAAATTGAGGTTGCTTATACACATAATTAAGCTTATTTGTCATGAGTAGCCATTAGTAAATACAGGTTAATTTCATACAATTAAAAAGAAACCCCAAAAGCCATTAGCATTTTGAGTAATACATAATTAATAAAAGTTTGCTGAACATACAATCTTAGGTCCTTATAAATTCTTTTTGAAAGGTAGGTTGGGCCCAGTGGCTCACACCTGTAATCCTAACACTTCGGGAGGCCATGGAAGGTGAAAAGCTTGAGATGAGAAATTCGAGACCAGCCTGGGCAACAGAGTGGGACCCTATTTTTACAAAAAATAAAAAAAATTGGCCAGGCACAGTGGTGGGCACCTATAGTCCAAGCTACTTAGGAGGCTGAGGTGGAAAGATCACTTGAGCCCAGGAGGTCAAGGCTGCAGTGAGCCAAGATCATGCCATTGCACTTCAATCTGGGCAACAGAGAAAGATCTTGTTTCCAAAAAAAAAAAAAATGTATCAATGAGAAATGAAAATAATCACATGGATCTTATAACTGAGTGATACAACTTAAAACGTAATCACTCCTCCCAACAAAAATGTAAACAAGATGCATAATTTATGATTTTATTGTCTTTCCTTTGGCCTTTAACATCTATGTTTCTGTAATTTAAATAAAAATCTATTTACTTTCTCCATTTTAGCAAATGGTTTCTTTACCCAAATAGGTTGCACCAAAGTCCCCATATGGTTTTCTACTGTTCCACAACCAGTTTCACAAAGATTGACCAAACTTTAATGAAAGTTAAATTTATAGGCATCTTAAGATAACTTGGGAAATATGTAGTTAAAAAGAATAAAGTCCACAAATTATGAGTATTTTGCTAATATGCCAAACACCAATTTCAGGAAATCCAATCAACTTAACTCATATGTTTAATGTGGTAATTTTTTTAACAAAATGTAATGGGGGTATGAAGGATACATTTATGCCCTTGACAAAGATGACAAGTGTGATTTTGTTGTGACTAAGGAGAGTATGATTTCTGGTGGTTATAATATCACTCCAGCTCTTCAAAGCTCAGAGAATGTGTAAGGTTCTGCCACAGCCAGTGATGTTAGGCAAATGTAATAGAAGGTTCACTGGGCTGATACACATTTTCATCATACAAATCTTCTGGTAGTTCCTCTTCGTCTGCATCAGGAAAATATGTAGGGAATGGTAGATTTTTACAGAGATCCTTATAGGCAGGCAGTTTAGAATCTCTGACCTGTGAGAGGGCAAAAATCTTATATTAGTGATGCCAGTTGTTATTTAAAGGCAGGCTTTTCAGCTATTATTCATAATCAAAGAAATATCCGATACTATATTTTCTAATGCAAATAACATAACTGTTACATTATAGAGTAAAAAGAATTCAGTCAATGCTTTCCTTTAATTCTAAAAAATAACAGAAACTCAAGCAGCTATAAGAATAAAATCACCAATTATTACTTTATATCTTAACTTATAAGCATCTGTAGGACTGCCCCACAGGATAAAATCACATTCTAAAATTACTACTTGAATATCATTTATATGATTCATTTCAAATAAAATGACCTGACAAACTAGCATTTTTGTTAGTCTTAACTCTAAGAGCACGTAATTAAAAATATCATCTCTTACTACAAAAATTAGCTCACATTTTTCTTCCCCTGCCAAAAGTGTCATTTCTCCAGCAAACAAAACAAACAAACAAGATTGTATTTCTGTGTCACATAGTCAAAAAAAAAGTCTTGTATTGATGGAAGATTTAAAGACAATTATTCAGCATTTTCAAACCTGAGTGAGGGCCTTTATGTTGAGACTACTTTATATCTGGTCCTGTGTTCACCAGAATGAAAATGATCATCCTTGGTTTAGCACCCAATTACTCCCATGGCCTTAGCACATTTTCTGCTTATAGATGTAACAACCAATCCTATATTCATATACAATAAATGCAGCCCGATATATGTCAGAGCATATATTCTTATTGAGAAGTTAAAGACAGACTAGTATTTAGCAAAAACAATAAAAGACCACTGAGTCTTGATAAGAGCTCTGTTAACTCTTTATGTTCTAAAAAATTCTGTGAATTCACAGACTGAACAATTTTAGTATTGATACTGATGTGATCTAAAATGTTGATTTTTATTTTCAGAAAACATTATTGGATTCTTCAGAGCTTCTGGCTCATTCTACAGCTTTCATTCGTAAGTAAATTAAAAAAAAATTTACATGTAATTATATACACAGAACAAAATGAGGCATAATTACTTTAGCAATAAGAAGTGAATAATTTGGTTGAAATAAAGTACACAGCTGCTAGAAACAGCTTAGTACAGAAAAACAGATCTACTTTAATCCCTCTTGTTAAAATTGTTTCAAGAAATTATCAGTAAATGACCTAGAAGAAAAAAAACTTGTTTTTTTCCCCCAATCCATTAATCTTGGGTTGAACTTTAAAAAGGGAAAATGCCATATTCTTACCAATTTAAACTTACTCAGTATTTAGGATTGAAAAGAAAACCCAAGCAAAAAACCTAATAAAACTAATCACAACAAAACTTTCTGTGCTAATTTGAGATATAAAAATTTAGTCATCAATGACCCAAAGAAATAATTCTCAGTTGCTTTCATACTTTTATAGATTATAACTGAGAAATATTTTCGACAAAGAATCAACGTTTACAAAGTCTAAACATTATAATTCAAGGATGTGAAATGTAAATGACATCTCATCTCAACCATTTTTGTCTCGATAGTGCAAAAGTTGTGGGTTGCAGGCCTGTAGCCCATCTTTAACAAATGTATAAACCTGTATGTGTATTTTTGTGTATTTAATCTCACCCCAGGTTTATTATTTTTCTGCCTGTACCATGACTCCCTCAATTATCTACCTCATTCTTTTTATGTCTACCAGCAAACCAGTTCAAATCTTTTAAGAAAATGTGGGAAAAGGACAAAAACCAGGCAAATCTGAAAATACATTATATATTACATAGGAATGAACACAAATGAACAGTATAACATGCATTTATACCTCTTATGCTGTAAACAATAGTTCTTCAGTTTTCCTTAATACATTTAGTGATTCCAAATAGCAAAACAAAAAGCTCATGTCTGTTAAACAAGTTGGTCATCTCTAAGACTACCTTTACTAACTTTAGAATATTAAAAAAATATATAATATTGGTTCCCCTGTACTCTGAGGAAACAAAAGCTCCCAAGAGGTGAGTGGATGTTAATAAAGTTGACTGCCCACTAGGGAGTGGCTCAAAGCCTGTGGGCAAGGAACGCCTAGTTTGCCTACTATGGAATCATTGGAGGAACAGAAATAATGGAGTGAAAGGACATACCAAGGTTTTATCATTTAAAACTTACAAAATGTTCCCCAAATTCACACCTTAATTAATGCCTGGGCAGATACTTATGGTTACAAAAGAAAGTTATTTAAGCACCATATTCCAAAGATTATTTTTTAAGGATGAGTTTTTTTTGAGACAGAGTCTCACTCTGTCGCCAGGCTGGAGTGCAGTGGTGTGATCTTGGCTCACTGTAATCTTCGCCTCTGGGTTCAAGTGATTCCCCTGCCTCAGCCTCTTAAGTAGGTGGGACTACAGGTATCTGCCACCACACCTGGCTAATTTTTTATATTTTAGTAGAGATAGGGTTTCACCACATTGGCCAGGATGGTCTCGATCTCCTGACCTCATGATCCACCTGTGTTGGCTTCCCAAAGTACTAGAATTACAGGCGTGAGCCACCATGGCTGGCCAGGATGAGTTCTTTTATTATCCAAAACACTTGCTGGAAATATATTCACTAGTGTGTTAATAGTTCTAAGGGGACTAGACATTGTTCTGATGCCAGTTTCTCAAAATGTATTTAGACTCCTTTTTCAGAACTCTTTGGTACACCTTCTGAGTATCTTCAGTGATGGCAAACTATTACTGGTTATGACAGTGAATAAAGTTTTTGGACGCAATCTTTTATTGAAGTAGGGGATAAACATGAGTCATAAATGTTACTGGTTATAAACTATTTATAACTACATCAGAATGTCATTGTATGTACTAGTTTTTCAAGATAACTGACTATCCCTGCTGGTGACAGGGAAGTTGTAGAAATACTTGAGAAGATGCTGTAGTAGTACTTGAGAAGTCACGGCAAACAATGGTAAGGTTTGGCTAGAAAACCAGCCTAGAATCATGTATGTTGAAAAATGGGCAGAAAAGGAGGATCTGACATTTAAAACTTAATCTGCTGTCCAGTATAATTCTAGTATAAAAAATAATCCTCCTTTATTTGGTTGTGCTATTTATAACCTGTAATCTGGAACGTGGGGTCAGGGATGTGAAGATATATTTTCATATGAATTATGAAGACAAAATATTATGAGAAGTACAATGATAATCCTCTGGTTTCAACTACCTGTCATTGTAAGTATGACTGCCTTACTAGGAGAAATCTGCAAACTTAAGGAAAAAAACAAAACTTACAAAAATTCATCAAATGCATCTTTCTTTCTCTCCTTCCCTCTCTCTCTCTCTCTCTCTTTCTTTCAATAGTAGCAAGGTCCCACTCTGTTGCCCAGGCTAGAATGTTGTGGTGTGATCACAGCTCACTGTACCCTCCAACTCTTGAGCCAATGTGATCCTATCCTCCCACTTCAGCGTCCTGAGTAGCTGGAATTACAGATGCAAGCCACCAGCCCTGGCTTAAATGCATTTTTTTTCTTTAAGAAAAATGAGATTAATCCAGTCAGTAAGCAAGGTGTCCCAGAAAGGTAACTTTAAAAAATAAAACTCTTATTCCTTGAAAGATTTCAAAAAATTATTCCTTATGTTAGTAATGGAACCTAGACATAAGAAAAATACATAAGAAACACTGAATTTAAAAAATCAGAGGTTTAAGTTTCAATATTTCTTTGCTGCTTTCATTGGAAAATCAATGAAGAATATACTTTGGAGAATAGCTGACATCACTTCTAATAAAAATTTATTTTCAAAATGGAAGAGTCAAAACTCAGAGGTAAGAAAATTTGCATTGCTGGAATAAACCCCAGGCAGAATGTTTATTCTGATTTTATGGAAGTTAGTCAGTTTTTGAGAACTTGAAGAGTTTTTCTTAAAATGTATCTGATCTCTCTGTACATAGTTTTTATTTTTATTTTATTTTTTAAGAAAAACACTTAAAGATGTAATCAGAGCATAGTACTAGTGATAATAAGAAAGCTCCTACTCAAATGTCTACCTTTAACCACTTTTTTTTTTTATGACTCTAATTTTTACCTTATGTATTTCTGGTTTGCCAAAGTAACCCTTTTAAAAGCTAAAAAAAAATTTTGGTGGGTGGGAGCAGGGTTTACTTATAATTGACACATAATTGCAAATATATATGGTATACACTGTGATGTCTCAATACATATATATATATATTGTATAATGATCATAGGGTAATTAGCATATCCATCACTTTAAACATGTATCATTTCTTTGTGATAACATTCAAAATCCTCTCTTCTAGCTATATTCAAATATGCATTATTATTAGCTATAGTCAGTCACCCTACTATGTAATAGAACACCAGATGTATTCTTCCTGACTGTAACTCTGTGCTTGTAGACCACCTCTCCCACTCCTCCTCCCCAATATCTTCCCCCAGCCTCTGTTAAAACCATTCTCCTCTCTACTTCTATGAAATCAACTTTTTTAGATTCCACATAAAAGTGAGATCATGCAATATTTGTCTTTCTGTGTCTAACTTATTACACTTAACATAATGTCCTCCAGGTTTATCTGTGTCACCACAAACAGCAGCAATTACTTCTGCTTTATGGCTGAAGAATATTCTAGTGTGTGTGCATTCTCTAGAACATTCTTCAGCCATATATATTAAATATATATACACACATAGGCATGGTGGTACATGCCTGTAGTCCCAGCTACTTGGGAGGCTGAGACACAAGAATCACTTGAATGTGGGAGGCAGAGGTTAGAGCAAGTAGAGATTGCACCACTGCACTCCATCCTGGGTGACAGACTGCAGTACAAGACTCTGTCTCAAACACACATATACCACATTTTCTTTATCCATTCACTTGTAGATGGGGCACTTTAAAAAGCTAACATGTTCCTTTTGGAAGGACAGAGATACACTAGTATTTTGGCAATCGTTATCCAAATATATGTCTCATATTCCTGAACATCTTTCTGCTTACTGGCCTGACACGGTTTGAATTTGTGTCCCTGTCCAAATCTCATGTCAAATTGTAATCCCCAATGTTGGAAGAGGGGCCTGATGGGAAGTAAATGGATCATGAGGGCAGACTTCCCCCTTGCTGTTCTAGTGATAGTGAGTTCTCATAAGATCTTGTTGTTTAAAAGTGTGTAGCACCTCCCCCTTCCCTCTCTTCCTCCTGCTCCAGCTATGTAACACATGCCTGCCTCTCCTTCCCCTTTTCCTATGATTTTAAGTTTCCTGAGACCTCCCTAGCCATGCTCCCTGTACAACCTGTGGAACTATGAGCCAATTAAACTCCTTTTCTTTATAAATTACCTAATTTCAGGTATTTCTTTGTAGGAGTCCATCCATTCTATTAGGATGGACTAATACATGGCCTTAACCTTTTTACAGGTTCTTGGTTTTATAGGAATATAACATACGTCACCTTGTGCATGTTTTTCACTCAGGTGCTACCAAAAAGCAGACAGATTCAGAAGAGAACATATGGAAAAGCAGCCATTTATTTATAAGTCACATATATGAGTCAAAGGAGACTTTATGGTAAATATCCCCATATATGACCAACAAAAAATAATAGTAACTTGTTAGCTTGCGAGTAAGAAACCAAAAAGAAAATGGAGAAAAAAGAAGACAGTTATACTTACCTTTACTAAGCAATTTTTATGTCCAGGTACAGAGCCATTTACATAGATTATGTTGTGCTTTGTGTTTATTCTCCACACCTAAAGCATGAAAGAAAACCAAACTTTAAGAGTCAAAAATTTTAGGATATACTTGTGTTAAAACAATGTTACTAAAAGCTGAGGATGTAAATTGCTTGTAAAGTAATAATCTTATCAGTACTTCAGAAGGTCGAATAAGAATTGAAAAACTGCAAGTCCTATAGATGACTTGTAAGAGAAGACCACAACAGATGTATCTTAGGAAAGTAGTAGAAAACTCATTTTAAATAGAGATGTGACTGAATGATCAAGTCTACCTGGATATCTGAATGGACTCTGTTGGTACCATTAACAAAAACAAGCAGAAATTAATCTTATTTTTAGTTAATACTAGCCTGCTGTAACTAGAGGCTAGAGAAGCCACAACCTCACTGATTCTAATTTCTAAAGTAAGCGGGCTGAGTAGATGATCCTCAAAAGATCTTCATGTGGAGAAAAAACTTATATAAATAGGAAAAGAATGACTGGTCAAAAAATGGTATTGAGAAAATAAACTATTTAGAGAAGAAATCGAGTTTGACCCATGGCTCCTATTTAATAATGAATAATTTTAAATATTACAGAAATTGAAATCACACACAGGAAGAAAATATAGCAAACAGATGGTATCTGATGAGTAAAAATGTAATAGAACGGGTAAAAAAAATCTTAGGTCTAATTATATAAAATTAGAAAACTTCTCCTGGTCAAAATTTATATATAAAATGTATCCAGAATAGAGACTGGGAAAATATGCACCAATATGTTTCCAGTGATTGTCTTTGGGTATTGTTCTTATGGGTAGCTTGCTTACTTCTCTGTGCTTTCTACACTTTAAAACATACATGCAAACAAATAAAAACATTAGCTGTTTAACAGAAATATAATTACACAGCATCCTTTACAGTATAACTCATTTTTACTTACATACATTTCTCATGGGTAGAGAATGAATTCAACTTCTCTTTTAAATATAGAAACATCTTTTTTATAAGAACGATGTATATCACGATCCTTTTGTAGTGCTATTCTGTCCTTCTATTTTGATTGTCTTCCTCTTTTTTCTTACGTACATCCACTTCTACACACACACATGATAAATAATCCAAGATAACCTGGTATATGCCCTTCCACTATTCTGTGATTATATAATGGCACAGCAACATACATATGTAGAGAGCTTTTGTTCCATCTTTTACTCAAATAGGAGTATTACACATAATGCTCTGAATCTTACTTTTTCATGCAACTGTATCTTCTAAAAATCTAGGTCCAAGAGTAGACTACTAATTTTGTCTCTTTAATGACTGTGCTTTTCATGGCTTGGAATATACACTACCATTACTACTGCTATGACTACAGCTAGAGCATACACACACACACAATTCATATATCCTCTTTTCCTCAATAACTTTAAAGTCTATTAGAACAATGGTACACAGACACACATTAAACACATATTCTGCTGCCTTTGAATTTAAACAATTTAACTGTTCCTAGAAAGAACCACTTGTAAAACTTACTTTTAGTCCATGTACTGTCCTATCTATGTTTCCCATTTGTCCAGGCAATTTAGTTCCAGGCCAGACTCTGGCAACATCCTAAATGAGAAAACTAAAGTTAATACTTTTAAGTACTATCAATTTTAAACAGCAGTGATCAAACCACAATGCAAACTAAGAATAAAAATTATTAAAATGTTTTATTTTTCCCCTATTCGGCTAGGTCCCAGTAAGGAACTAAATATGGATTTAGACATGTTTCCTCCTAGAGGATTTCCTTTCTAAATCAGACTAGACTCTTAGGATAAATACAGAATACAAAACAGATTCAGGAGAAAAACTCAGTAACAAGTAACCTAATACTGGTTAAGAACTAAAAAAGGACAAGGGTGTACAGACACAGGACACCATCATTCAAAGAAAAACACAGACTGCAGGCCTGCTTTAAACTAATCTTCTGTATTAACTAACTTCATGGACTTCATTCCTACCACTGGTGCTAGAATGGTCCTACTCTTCCTTGCTTTAGATGTTATGTTCCTTGACCAAAATTATTAAAGGACAGTTATTAAAACAGTCAGTTTGTCTAGCCCTCGTTTTCTCTGATTTACATAAATCTAACAGCTTCACACAGTCCCTGATTTTGGCTCTGATAATGGATGATAGTTCTACATGTGAAGAAGCAAATCTGAATTACAGCTAAAATAGGACATCTTACAACACATGAATTCTCAGAATATAAACCCTTTTCCATCAGCTGCTCTCACATTAACTGGTGAAACTCCTAGAGGAAGTACCGCATCATGGCATTAGATATGTTTAACATGTAACCAACAGGCTTAAAAGACAACTGTGAGGCCGGGCACGGCGGCTCAAGCCTGTAATCCCAGCACTTTGGGAGGCCGAGGCGGGTGGATTACAAGGTCAAGAGCTCGAGACCATCCTGGTCAATGTGGTGAAACCCCGTCTCTACTAAAAATACAAAAAATTAGCTGGGCATGGTGGCGCATGCCTGTAATCCCAGCTGCTCAGGAGGCTGAGGCAGGAGAATTGCCTGAACCCAGGAGGCAGAGATTGCGGTGAGCCGAGATCGCGCCATTGCACTCCAGCCTGGGTAACAAGAGTGAACCGAACCTCTGTCTCAAAAAAAAAAAAAAAAAAAAGACAACTTTGAGTATTATAGACTAAATATCACTCTTATTCTTCTGCAAAAATATATTCTGTTATACATGACTACAATGTTCCAGTAGACAGAGCTGAGACATAATAAGCACACACGCACTGCTCCATTTCTGTGTGCTACATTTTTTCCTTGTGTGCATGGATGCACTCCTTTCCCTCACCAAACAGTAAATGCATACTTAAAATTTGAATTCAACACTACAGAGTTCATTTTAATTTTCCCATTTTCATATTTCAGTGCCCTTTCCCAATAGAGAGAAGCCTAGCTCCCATTATCAATATATTTACTTATCTGCTCAATCCTACGATTCACAAAAAATTATTTCAGAATTGCTAACTGATACTAATTCAAAAGACAAACCTACTAGGATTCAACATTTGCACAAAGTACATTTTAAACTTAGACTTAGGGTATATACAGCCAAACTTTAGATGCTCAACTAACGATGCGGAATATAACTAATTCTAGTGTGGCTCTGGGAAATGAGTGAGGCAAGGATCCATAAAAGGGTGACCAGTACTTGGACCCCCGCTCTGGGGTCAGACTAAAATTATGTCACTTTATATCAAGGATGGACTGAGGGCTACATGTGCAGAAGCTGAATATTTAGCACTAAAAAGAGCTTCACTAGTTATACTCACACCAGTTGAAATAGCTCCAGGTCTTCTGTGGGTTTTCGTCTGACCATGTGTAGCAGGTTGGCCTTTAAATCCCCATCTTTTCATGACACCTTGAAAACCTTTACCAATGCTGAACAAAACAAACGTTAGAATTTACATAATGAAAAGAGCATAGAATATTCCCACTTGTACACTTTCTAGTACCAAGTGTATGCTTTCTTGTTAGAGTTTTAACAAAGCTTCTTATCTAAATAACTAGAAAAGGCTATACAAGTAAAACGGCAAATAAACATTCCTTTATCTCTGCCCTGGTCTGCACCCCTTCCTGGAGTCTAATTCTATATAAAATGATTAATTCAAGATTGTGAGACACCAGTAAGCTAAGCACAGGGAATTTTATCTGAACAGGGAGTTTTATCATCCTAATCCTGTGAAGATGACACAGTAAAAATGAGAAAGCTCGAGAAGTTTCAAAGTACTTAGATATGGCAGGCAGCCATTAAGATGGAAACCAAAGACCACCACCTCCTGGTACTCAGGCTCTTGCTTAATTCCCTCCCCTTGAGTCTGGGTGAACCTAGTGCCTTGTTTCTAACGAATAAAATACGGCAAAAATGATGAGATGTCACTTCTGAGATTTGGTTACAAAGAGACTGTAACTTCCATCTTGGTACTCTCTTGCTTGCTAGGCTCTGAAGGAAGCCAACTTAGTGTAAGCTGGATGCCTCCAGCCATTAACCAAGGACCTGAGGTCTGTCAATGGCTTATTAGTGGGTAAGGTAGCAGATTCTCCTTAGAACCCTGACATGACTGTAACCCTGGCTATGCCTTGACTGCAGCCTTGGGAGAGACCCCAAGTCAGAGGCATCCAGGTAAATTATACTGGGATTTCTGAGCACAGAAACTGAGGTAATAAATTTTTGTTATTTTAAGTTATTAAGTTAGTAAGTTTTAGGCAGCAATAGATACTAGAACAATAGAGGAATAAACGGGAAAAAAATGCTTTAACCCAACTAAAAACTAAGCAAAACATCTTAACACATTCCTCAAAAGGAGACAAAGAAATGGGCAAGAAGTATACAAAAAATGTTCATAGCCACTAATTATCAGGGAAATGCAAATCAAAACCACAATAAGATACCATCTCATTCCAGTTACAATGGCTACTATCAAAATGACAAAAGAAAACACGTTGGTGAGAATGTGGACAAAAGAGAACACGTATACCATTGGCTGGGATATAAATTAGTATAGAAAACAGTATGGAAGCATCCCTCAAAACATTAAAAATACGACTACCATATGATCCAGCAATCCCACCAAAGGGTAGATAGCCAAAGGACATGAAATCAGCATGTTGAAGAAACACCTTATATTTACTGAGCACTATTCTCAATAGCCAAGATACAGAATCAACCTACGTATCCAACAACAGACAAATGGATAAAAATGTGGCACATATACACAATGGAATATGATTGTCATAAAAAATAAAATCCTGTCATTTGCAACAACATGAATGAAACTGCAGGACATTCTGTTAAGTGAAATATGCCAGACACAGAAAGACATACGGTATGATTTCACTCACACGTGGAATCTAAAAAATGCTGCTATCATAGAAGTAGAGACTATAACAGTGGTTACCCAGAAACTGGGGAAAGGATGAGGATGGGAATGAGGAGGATGGGGAGAGGTTGGTTAATGGGTATCAAACTACAATTAGATAGAAGGAATGAGTTCTGGTGTCCTATCATACAGTAGGCTATCTATGGTTAACAGTAAATTATTATATACTGTAATAGGAAGGTTTTTGAATGTTCTCACCACAAAAAAATGATAAATGCACAAAGTAACAGGTATAGTAACTACCCTGATTCGATCATTATACAATATAAACATTTCTTTTAATTTGAATATAACATTTATTTTTTTAAATTTTGACTGCTTTAACAATGAAATTTAAATTGACATATTTTTCTTTTCTATGAACTTTTTAAAAATTGTACGTTAAGTTCTGGGGTACATGTGCAGATCTTGCAGGATTGTTGCATAGGTACACACATGTAATGGTGGTTTGCTGCCTTCATTCCCCCCATCACCTACATCAGCCATTTCTCCCAATGTTATCCCTCCCCAACCTCCCCACCCCCTTCTGCCCCTCCCATAGCCTCCCATCCCTAACAGACCCCAGTGTGTGATGTTCCCCTCCACGTGCCCATGGATTCTCCTTAACACCTGCCTACGAGTTAGAACATGTGGTGTTTGGTTTTCTGTTCTTGTGTCAGTTTGCTGAGAACGATGGTTTCCAGATTCATCCATATCCCTACAAAGAATGTGAAGTCATTCTTTTTTATGGCTGCATAATATTCCATGGTGTCTATGTGCCACATTTTCCCAATCCAGTCTATCATCATTGGGCATTTGGGTTGATTCCAGGTCTTTGCTATTGTAAACAGTGCTGCAATGAATATTTGTGTGCATGTATCCTTATAGTAGAACAATTTATAGTCCTTTGGATATATACCCAGTAATGGGATTGCTGGGTCAAAAGGAATTTCTATTTCTAGATCCTTGAGGAATTGCCACACTGTCTTCCACAATGGTTGAACTAATTTATACTCCCACCAACAGTCTAAAGGTGTTCCTATTTCTCCACATCCTCTCCAGCATCTGTTGTCTCCTGATCTTTTAATGATCTCCATTCTAACTGGCGTGAGATGGTATCTCAATGTGGTTTTGATTTGCATTTCTCTAATGCCTAGTGATGTTGAGTATTTTTTCATGTTGGTTGGCCTCATAAATGTCTTCCTTTGTAAACTGTTCATATCCTTCGCCCACTTTTGAATGGGTTTGCTTGTTTTTTTCTTGTACATCTGTTTTAGTTCTTTGTAGATTCTGGATATCAGCCCTTTGTCAGATGGGTAGATTGCAAATATTTTTTCCCATTCTGTTGGTTGCTGGTTCACTCTACTGATAGTTATTTTGCTGTGCAAAACTCAGGTTTAATTAGATCCCATTTGTCTATTTTGGCTTTTGTTGTCATAGCTTTTGGTACTGCAGTCACGAAGTCCTTGCCTATGCCTATGTCCTGAATGGTTTTGCCTAGGTTTTCTTCTAGGGTTTTTATGGTGTTAGGTCTTATGTTTAAATCTTTTTTTTTTTTTTGAGACGGAGTTTCGCTCGTTACCCAGGCTGGGGTGCAATGGCGCGATCTCGGCTCACCGCAACCTCCACTTCCTGAGTTTGAACAATTCTCCTGCCTCAGCCTCCCAAGTAGCTGGGACTACAGGCACGTACCACCATGCCCAGCTAATTTTTTTGGGTGTTTTTAGTAGAGACGGGGTTTCACCATGCCAGGCTGGTCTCAATCTGTTGACCTCGTGATCCACCCACCTCGGCCTCCCAAAGTGCTGGGATTACAAGCTTGAGCCACCGCGCCCGGCCCATGTTTAAATCTTTAATCCATCTTGAGTTAGTTTTAGTGTAAGGTGTAAGGAAGGGGTCCAGTTTCAGCTTTCTGCAGATAGCTAGCCAGTTTTCCCAACACCATTTATGAAACAGGGAATCTTATCCCCATTGCTTGTTTTTGTCAGGTTTTCAAAACCTACAATCAGATGGTTGTAGATGTGTGGCATTACTTCCGAGGCCTCTGAACAATATAAACATTTTAAGACATCAACTTGTACCCCATAAATACAACTGCAATGTGTCAATTAAAAATAAAATTTGTCTTTGAATGTATCAGTACAAATGATACAATGAAAGGACTGGAAAAAATTTTAAGACTGTACTAAACTTTTTTTTTTTTTTTAGACAGGATTTTACTTTGTCCACCAGGCTGGAGTGCAGTGGTACACTGATAACTCACTGCAGTCTTAAACTCCTGGCCTCAAGCAATCCTCCCGTCTCAGCCTCATGAGTAGTTACAACTACAGACTACAGTTGCATGCTACCACACTCAGCTAATTTTTAATTATTTTGGTAGAGACAGGGATCTTGCTTTGTTGCTTAGGCTGGTCTCGAACTTCTAGCCCTGGGTGAGCCTCCCACCTAGGCCTCCCAAAGTGTTGAGATAACAGGTATGAGCCACCATGCCAGGCATGTGACATTATTTTTATATACTCTTAAAATGAAGATTTTTTTCACCTTTCACTAGATAATAAATCAACATATTTTTAAGAGTGTTCCCTAACTCCGCCAATGTTAGCTATCATTATATAGTGTACTGCATCAGGCCATTTACTAAGAGGACAAAAAGAAAAATATAAAACCAGCTTCCACAAGGACTTGCTATGTATTTAACAAATAATTATCAGAGAGCAATGGACCGAAGAAAGCCTATATAAATAACAAAGTTTGTTTTAGATACATCAAAAATCCACTCTAAAAATAAGGATAAGGCTGAGTGTGGCGGCACATGCCTGTAATCCCAGCACTTTGGGAAGTTGATGTAGGAGGGCTGCTTGAGGTTAGGGGAGGCCAGCCCGGCCAACAGTTACAAACCGCAAATTTGAAAACAAAAATTAAAACAGAATGATACATGTACAACCTAACAGCTGAATACTATCAAATTATAGGTCAAAAGTTACTTTTATAAGAATAATTCAATGTAGCTTATACCACATTCTTCACATTAAGCATGTGAACAGTGTGTATATAATTTTTTTGATGTGAAAACTCAAAATGTTTATACCCGATCAAAGGGCTAAAACATAACACATACTAAAAACTCACTAGTTATGTAAACTGTTAACATCTAAGAAGAGAACAATCAAATATTTTACTGATACTATGCTTCAGAAAGCTAACAAATGTTTCCATTTAACACTGAATTTTAGAACATAATTGGAAAGTACAGTGCTTGGCAATTTAAAAATGAAAAAGAAATACCTAAAGAGTAATTTGAATTTACCATATCATTTGGCAAACGACACTTCAAAGAAGAAAGGAGAGAGAGAGACTAGCAACACTAATCTAAATGAACACGTTACACTGGTAATTCTTGGTAGAAAGTTTATCGGTACTTCTGTGTTATTAAACTGATGATGTCTTACTTAAAAAGAGAGTGTGAGTGCATGCACCAACAGAACACATGCCAGGTGAACTACAGAAGATAATTTAGCTCATTTTAAGAGGAAATAATTATAAGATAAAAGTAGTATCCTGAAAGTGCTAATTATCTGTTGGCTAATTACAGACTGCTTTTCAATCTGGCTCTAGAATACATCATGTAGTTATACTGTGTACAACAGGAACCTCTTCAGTAACCTTTAAACAAAAGAATAAAACACAAATAACATGACAAATTATTGGCTGAATTCAGACATAGGGAGAACAGAATGTACCTGCTGATCCATGGGGGGGTACAGGTGTTTATACTACTCTCAGCCGTTACTCAACTTGAGAACAAAAATAAAACAAAAGCAAGAAATGAACTAATCTATACTTAGCACAGCCAGATACATTTCAAATATAAGGTTGCCACAGGTCACAATCCCTCACCCCTTTCTGCTACAGTTTTTAATGATGGTAGAAGAAAATCAAATAAAATAAAGCTCAAAGGGGAAAGAACATAGAGATCCCAGTTTTAGTGAGATATATTTGAAAATTAAGAAGACATAAAAGATGTATTTTATTTATAGCACCTATACTAAAATACAGAAATTCAGAAGTATCATTTAATCCAGGAAACACTAATGTCTTTGCTTCTTAGTCCATTTCCCCTTAGCACCAAGGGTAGCACCACTTTCAGTGCACCAAGGGTAGAAATTGCTTATTATTTAGCCCTAGTGCTCAGTCTAGAGAAGTCAGAGCAAAATTTGTTACTGGCTATAGCTGTGTCCTGGGAAGACAGGGGATTAAGTCTTCTTTCTTCTGTCCTATAGTTTCCCATTGTTGTATAATGGGCATGCCTTTTAGTTTGAAGAGATGGTTTGAAGAAAACGAGAGGAGAAGCTTAAAGGTACGACTAACAATCCTGCAGAAGGAAATGCACAATTTAATGTTTCATTGAATTCTATAAATCTCTAGATATTCTTACTGAGAATTTCATTCCCTTGCTATACTGTGACAAATGCCCAAACATCTACAAGCAGACACACAGGTTTTAATATAGATCCACCATATATTTCTTTACTTTGTGGGAAACTGCCTTTCATTGCATGATTCTGGATTTATTTGTCTATGGGAATAAAATGAAATGTCCGTAAGGTGAAGAGCGACCATATACCTGCTTTTAAACCCATCCATTCTGTGTCCTCTGAGAACTTCCTCTAAAATTCCCATCCCCTTAGTCTCTCTCTACCCCTTACGAAGCCACTGGATTCTCTTACCTTCTTTTCCCTTCATATCCCTCCGTCTCTTCACTAGGACCCAAACTCCTTCTCTCATCTACCATCCACCCTCTGCAATCCATCTTCCTCTCCAATCACTCTTTGGAACTCATTCTGAGGTTAACCCCCAAGTCTTTTACTAAAACAACTTTTATTATGGAAGTTTTAAGGAATATTCAGGAGCAGAGAGATTAATAACTCAATAAATCCCTATGTATCTATCACTCAGCGTTGAACAAATATTGACTTGAGGCCTATGTTTTTTCAGCTGTTCCTCTCCTGTGACGACTCCAGTAGATTATTGCAAAGCAAACTCCAAATACCCTATCACTTCATTCACAAATATTTCAGTACAGATTTCTAAACAATAAGAATACCTTAAAAGAACAAAACCACAATACCATTAACACAACCCCCAAAATTTAATTTCTTAACATCAGTGTTTAGATTTCTACAGGCTCTTTTAAAATAGAATCTCTCCACAGGGTTTTCCTCTATCCCTTCATGTCCCGCCCCTTTCCACTGTCACTATTTCCTCCCTATTTTTGTGCTTCCATAATATTCTTTCAGAAATCTCTTTCCTCTTGCTGCCTCTGATTCTCTTCTCATTAAAGTTTAAAAGCGGGGTTGGCAAACTGGCCTGTGATGGCAGTATGTTTTCATAAATAAAATTTTTATTGGAACAGTCATGCACATTCATTTACATATTGCCTATCTCTACTTTAGAGCTGCCATGTAAGAATAAGTTAGTTCTCTCATGGGCAAGAGAGAACATAATGTCTGCAAACCTAAGATATTTGCTATCCTGTAGGTTGAGAAAAAGTTTTTTTGATCCCTTATGATCCAATTGGAAGTGCCTCAGCCATTCGATTACAGTGTTTCAGAAAGAAACTATCACTCCTCCTTCAAGTTATTCTTCATAGCCACTAGAACAAAATTCCTAAGATGATAATCTAAATCACACAAATTTGTGCTGCTTTAAAAAACAAAAACAAGCAAACAAACTAAACCACAAACTTAGGTGGTTCCCCAGTAATATTTTTAGCTTTAACATATGTTTTTTTTTTAATAACTGGATCCAACCTGACTTCCAAACACTGAAAACTCCTAGTCATAGCACATTACTCCATATAAGCCATTCTTCCATGCCTTTGTTCCTTCTGCCTCAAACGCCCTTCCTACGACACTGTCTATCTTTCCACTATTGCCATAAAAAAACAACCAAGTATTTATTATTAAGTTGCAGCACCTGTTAAAAAAAACTTTTTTTTTTTTTTGAGACAAACTCTCACTCTGTTGACCAGGCTGGAGTACAGTAGTGTGATCTTGGCTCACTGTAACCCCTCCTCCCAGGTTCAAGCAATTCTCATGCCTCATCCTCCCAAGTAGCACCTGCTACCACGTTAAAATGCATACTCCAAGTAGAGGTTTTTCCATTAGAACCATTCCCAAATTAAGTTTTCTTTTTTTTTTTCCTTCTTCAGGGAAATGTTAAGAGTCCTGCAATTTATCTAGCCACTGATGAAGCTGGTTGGAGCTGGCAGGAACTCCTAATTATTCTTGCATACACTGTCCCCGCTGCCTGGCTATGAGCATAGTCAGGCAAGGTCTACATGTATGCCCTCCAAATTAAGTTTTAACTTTCTCTCTTCACGCTGTAAGAAGTTTAAGCGACTTGTATATGTATCACTCAAAAAACTAGTAACTGTGTACAGAATGGAGAAAGGACTCCTGCTTAAGTATACAACCAAACCAGGCTATATTTTAAAAAGTTAATAAAAAGAAGTGGGGATGGGAAGGTGAAGAAGTTACTGGTGTAAAAATCAGCTTCTGTCACAGTAAAACATTACATTTGAAAACAGGAAAATGGAGATTCACCTGGGTTTCTAGCTGAAATCAAGACTGAGCTGAAATGAATCACTAAAACACATTACAGTTATGATACAATCTTTTAACTGTGATAACGTATTACTGAATATAAAAGCAAAGTCTCTATATCAACATCAAAAGAATATCTGGTAGGATATAATAATCACTTTACTATGCTTTAGATTCAAAATATACAAATGCTCTTAGTTTTAAAGCAAACAAATTTCCAATAAGCAAAAAAGAATATTTTTTGCCCAAATATATTACACGTATATAAAAGGCTTATTATTAGCTAGTTGACAGTCTCCCTTAGGATTGGCTTTTAACTCATGATGAATTAATATGGCACAAACATTTTACTCTTTTGCTATAGGCCTCTCCTCATTTCAGCAAACTCACCCAGATGTTACCTACTTACTTACATTTCCACACAGCATCTCTACTGAAGATCCCTGTGAAGTCTTGGAGTCAATTTTTACCCAATTCAGCATTGCTGTCTAAACCTACTTGATCAGTGATGAACAGCTGCTGAGTCCACAAGTCAGTCATGGTGGAATTTTCCAGTTGCTTTGTGTTCCATTCACATATAGTTTAGAAGGTGGCATGGAGTATCAGTAGAGCTATATAACTCTTTAGGATGAATTTGTGACAGCATAACCTGAAATGCAGGTATATGATTTCTGTCTAAAAATCACAAACCTCCCATCAGTATCTGGGAACATGTTTATCAACAAGAGTGCGAGGAGTGCTTTTCTGACATCAAATCTAGCTTATTCAATAGTACAAAGAGCCAAATGTGGAGTGATTCCTTCAATTTCTCAAATGCACTAAATAAACCCAGAACACCACATTTGCTGTCCTGGGCACACTCTGTTGTTCTCAAAAAAGGAAACACAAATAACCAATTCTGCATATCATGAAAGGACATAAATTTTCTGAAGGTCTTCAGCCATATAACGTTCTTCAATAGACTAGAAAGCCAAATTGCCATGAGCTATGAATCTACTGTTGTGTATTATTTCTTAATTATTAGATAAGGGTGAGTTGTGCCACCTGGAAAACTGAGGAATTATTTTTTGGAAACAGATTTTTAGAACTGAAAGAAACCTTAGAAACCATTTAGCCTCAGACCCTCCAGGTTAAAGATAATGAAATATAAATCCCCACAAATTAAGCCACTTGCCCAAAATCGAACTGCTAGTAAATGGAACCATCTGGTCACGCTTTCAACTCAGGTCATAGTGCCTCTTGAGAAACAGATTAGAGGAAAAATATAAAAATACTCTAGCAAATCGGAGAGGCATGAAGCCACTTCAAGGGCATTCTCATTACTCAGTAAATTCCAAATATAGTAGAAAGTATGTGATCTTAAAATCATCTAGAGTGTTTTGTAAAGCTACTTTGTTACATAAAATATGAGGCAGCAAAACTTAATGTATTAGAAAACACCAGAATTGAATTCCTAATAATGTCATGTCCTCTATTCATTTTGAAAGATACTTTCTATTCAGGAAAACATGGATCTTTCTTTTTAAAATTTAAACAAATTACAAAGCAGCAACATCAATAATAGTGATAGCAGCCAATAATCCTGAGCATTTATTATGTGCCAGGCATTGAGCTAAGAGCTTTCTATGCACTGTATTCCATCCTTCTAACATGGCTATGAAGTACATTTACAATTCTAGGTCACAGAGCTATTGAAAGGCCATGCTTTCAGCCACCACCCTAGACTGCCTGTTATTAGGCCTTAATTTTGCTGAGATTGAGTTAAAAGATGCTGCTTTGTAAATAGGGAGGCAATTATAGATGACCACTAATAAAATTTTTAAAGCAAAAAAAACAACTAAATATAACTATCAATACACCACTCTCCCAATCAGACCTTCATTTTGATAAACTGATTTAAGGGGAATTAATTTTTACAAAGATTATTTCTGTCTATATTTAATCACTCATCTTGAAAACTGTTTCACTAATACATTAAACATATTGCTTCGAATGTCTAGTATATAAAGTTACTTTTTAAAAATGAAATAAAATTGAAAGTGTATAGGACAGCACAGCAACTATATCCTGAAGGCAGCACATACCTTGCTTTCTCCTTCCAGAGTTTACAATAAACATCTACCAGTTAGAACAATGAGCCCGTGGGCAGAGTTTCTGACCATGTGTAGACATTCTTCCCTGAATAGGACATTCTTCCCTGAATAGTGTACAGGGCTAGGCATACAGCCCACAGAATCTTTACTCATTCTTTTTAAGAACCCACGTGACATTTCAAACACCTTTAGGACTCTGATAGAAAACAATACTGCTTTACACATTTTGGTATTTCAATGAAAGAATCAAACTAACTAAATCTAGTAAAGGTGCTCCAATACCTAATCTCCTCCATTCTACTCCCCTTAATTTTTATTACTAATGATAACATTATCAAGTATTTATTTTTCTGTTTGGAGACCAAAAGGTAGCAAGAATTTAAAGGGCACCAACAACTTTGAATTAGTAAGATTATTCCTGAAAACGAGTTGTTTTCATCAGTCCAGACTTGTAGACAAGATTTTTAAAGTATCCTTCTTTCAGAAAGAAAAAAATATTTTAAGTACTTGAAATCTTCTGACTTCAAATTTTAAGTAAATAAATAAATTCCAGATAGCCAGAAGAAAAATTACCTCAGGTATGCACTGTCATGAATTCAAAGTTTAGCAAGACACCTCAAAGGAAAGGGTCTCTCCATGCCACTATGAATGCATCATTACCATCACTGCCCTTCAAGTCCTTTCAGAGAGATACCTAACACTGCTCCCTAAACAGCAAAATGCATCTTTAGTTTTCTTTTTGTTGTTTCATGCTTTTCTCATTCCTTCCTTTTTTCTTTTTTACAAGTTATAATAAGCACCACTAGAATTCAACAGAAAAAGAATGGGCTAAACATCCTACGCTGAGGATAGACTCAATAGTCATATCTCAGCTTACTATTTATACATTATCTATAGTTGTTTCCTCTTCAAAACTGAGACTGAAAGAATGGGAAAACGTCAGACTCTAAACCACCATCTATTAAAAGTTACAATGGAATATAATTGCTACTACAGAATAAGAACATAAACTTTAAAAATGTACCAGGGTAGGGGCAAGGACAAAAGACATCATTATACATGCTAGTTTAAAGATTTTATTTGGAATGAGTTACATAAATGCCATATTTTTAAGACTGGGCTTAATTATCTATTGATACCACAATAAAACTATGTAAAATTGTCGTGCTAGGCAGTTTTATTCATCAGATGTAAAAATATTTCCCATACAATCTAAATGAAATTTGTATTCTACCATCCTTTTGATGAAAAACTATTGCTGGTATTAAGAGTAAAAATTAAAATGCTTTCTGGTAAATTATATATTCACCTCACACACTATGGAAAATTTACCTATTCATCTAGAGAATTATAACAAACATCAGAATATGTAAACACAATATATCTTTAATGTAAGCAAGTTTCCTACGGCAATTTTATTTTAAAAGGAACATTTAAAAATTGTTAAGTATGTTCTCACTTGTAAGTGGGTGTTAAACAATGAGAACACATGGACACAGGGAGGGGAACATCACACAGGCCCCCTGGGGCCTGTCAGGGGGTGGGGTGCTAGAGAGGGATAACGGGGGAGAGGGGCAGGGAGGGACAGCATTAGGAGAAATACCCAATGCAGGTGACAGGGTAATGGATGCAGCAAACCACCAAGGCATGTGTATACCTACGTAACAAACCTACATGTTCTGCACATGTACCCCAGAACTTAAAGTATAATAATAATTTTTAAAAAATTGTAAGTATGTCTTCAAGAAGCTGTTACTGTTGATTACAGGTCACTTTTTAAAAAATTGTCTGCAGACAATTTCATTCCTGAGGTAGACAGATTCTACTAACAGTTTTCTTGAAATGCAGACAATGTTTGTTCCTTTTAAAAATTTTCTAGTTATTTCTAAAGCACATTTAACTCAGCAATTAAAGCTAAAGGTATAAGGTAAAAAAATATTGAAATCTAGTACTAAAAATATAAAATTATTACATCATGAGAAAAATATGAAATTAAGAGATTGAGATTTTTTTCTTTTCAAACAAAAGATAACAAAGCCAATTATAAATAGACTAGTTTTCAGTTTTATACTAACTAAAATGTAATAGGCCAACTTTTATTGGCAATGTTGTTTTAATTACATTAAATTTGTTTGCTTTGAAACAGATGTTTATATGTTATAATTCGACCAGAGTTAAGAAAGGCATTCTGAATTCTGTGCTAGGAAGAGGAGTGAGGACAAAAAGTGGTTTAACTGATGACCTTCTATTTTCCAGTCCAGTGGTTCTCAATGTGTGTTTCTGGACCAGCAGCATCTATATCATGTGGAAACTTGGTAGAAATGCAAATTCTCAGGTATTAACCCAACACCTACAGAATCAGAAGCTCCATGGGTGGGGCCCATCAATCTGTGCTCAACTAACCTTTCAGGAGAATATAAAGCCCACTCAGGCATGAGAACCACTGCTGCAGCCTGTAAATCCATGTCCTTTCATCATCCCCTTAACCATGTCACTGCACATATTTTTCCCCTAGTGTTCACACTTTTAACAGGGTTAATATCCAGAAGATAGAGCCCCAGAGTTCCAAAATGCATTAAGGAAAGAAGATAGAAGAGTTTAAAAAGGAAAAAAAGTTAAACGAATGCATGCACATGTATGTGTACATGTACACACATATGACAACACCAGGAAGTCAGTGGCAGAGAGAAGAGGCAGCAGCAACTAGGACTATATGCAGCTGGAAATACAATGCGGCACTCAGAGGAAATTCAAAACAGCTCCAGATGAGAAGGACAACCAATCCTATAAATCTACAAGCATTTAAAAGTACCTTACAGCAGTAACAACATGTCAGCTACAAGAGCTACAGTTATTGGTAACATTTAGCAAAAGGTCAAATAAAGTCCAATTCCTTCTCATGTTAAGTTGTAAATACCACATGAAGGTATGCACACACATGCAAGGTAAACTCTGTCCCACTGTTAATACAGTAAAAGTTAAACAGAATACTGTGTAGTAGCTCATATAATAGTAGTGGTGATCTTCTCAAATGGAGGTCCTCACTTCTCCAGAGTTGATGGTCACTACTTTAAATCCCAGGGCTAGTTATTCCCCCAACTCTTATCAGCTACTTAATCCTAAAGCTGGTGCATGGCTTTATACAATCTTGTTTTCTATGAAAATGATCTTATAAAAAACCAAAAAACAAGTTTTCTTCTTTTACTTTACACTTACAAGAAGGTAGCTAAAGTTTAAAAAATCACTTTTAAGAAGCCAAGGAAACCAAACAGAAGCATATGAGATGAAAGTATTTACTGAAGCTAGATAGGCATTTGAAAACTTAGGCTCTAATACAAATTAGTCACAAGTCCAGCCACAAGGCAAATGTTAATAAAGGTTTCTGACTTTGAATGGATTCTTAGAATATCCCGTTTGTTGTATAAAATACATAATGGAATTCACACATTAACTGTGTTTAAATTAGTAAAATTACTATGTGGTATTTTATATGTAATAATTCAAAAAGTAACAAAATAATCTGATTTCCAACACACATACTTCCCCAACTAACCAAATCAAGCTTTTAAGCTCCAATATTTTGAGTTCTTGCTAAAGGAAAGCAAAACAGAGTTACCAAGGAACCAGTGATTTCAGGGGTTCTTGTAACTAGGAAGGAGTCCACGATAATCAAGAAGCAGGAAAAAAAAAAGGGGGGATAGGTTTACAATCTCTTTAAGAAGAAGACCCACCTTACTACCAATCTCTATCCCACATTTCATGTCAAAATAGCGAAATAAAGGTTATTAAAGCAGCTAGCAGCTTTTACAATGGCCTATGTTTGAAACTAGAAAGAATGCATCTTAACTGTGTGAGGGAGAGTGATACTAGCACTCACCCAGTTTCTTTTGATAAAAGCTGCTCTGGGCCGGGCACGGTGGCTCATGCCTGTAATCCCAGCACTTTGGGAGGCCAAGGTGGGTGGATTACAAGATCAAGAGATCGAGACCATCCTGGTCAATATGGTGAAACCCCGCCTCTACTTAAAATACAAAAAATTAGCTGGGCACGGTGGCACGTGCCTGTAATCCCAGCTACTCGGGAGGCTGAGGCAAGAGAATTGCCTGAACCCAGGAGGTGGAGGTTGCGGTGAGCCGAGATCATTACATTGTGCTCCAGCCTGGGTAACAAGAGCGAAACTCCATCCCCCCGCTCCTCCCCCCCAAAAAAAGCTGCTCTGGCTCAGTCTCTGTGATTATAAACCTATCCCAGAGCACCTGTAAACAATGGCTTATTTTTCAGAGGATTCCCATAATCCCTGCAGCATCATCATACAACAAAAAGCAGAAAACCGAAGCATCAAGAGAAATGAAATTATCATTTATGTAGAAGAAACAAGATAAATGAACAACAGCTGATATTTGGAGTTTTGTTTAGCCTAGGTCCAATGGATTCCAATAATCTATACTGAACAGTTTCTATGTAACAAGAGCTTGGCTATTTCATTCTATACTGAGGTGACCTAAACAAGTATTTGAAAAATGACTTCTTTAAGATGTAAATGTTTTCTAGATATTACATAGCCAGTACTGAACTGACCTAGGCTATTTGATACAAATGGTGAGGTATGAAAAAGCTACAGTACCAAAATAGCACTACCCCATCTTAATATCCCCCAAGTCAGCAATTCTGATAAAGTGACAACTCAATGTTGCTTCTACCATTAAACCCTTAAGTGTTAAAAGGAAGTTTTATGGGAGAAGTCTCATTTACACAGTACTGAGAAATCATGTCATGCTACTGAAGAGAAGTAAGGTATGACATTATTTCTTATTCCAACTTCTGATAGGCTTTTTAGTGTTACAAAAACCTTTAACATTACTTTGGGGAAACCTTAAACACAACAGCCACTGTCACAAATACTATGTTTATAATTTAACTGTTACCTAGAATTAGAAAGAACAACCAATAACTAGACTACACAATAATCTCAAAAGAACGTAATCAGTATTGCTAACGTATTTTTCACTGAACTGTATGTTGTCTTTGGTCTTCAAAACAGAATTAGGTCCAACTTCTGAAGAATCTGAATAATGTGACCTTTCTTTTAGCCCCATTTCAAGAAGCATATATCTCAATTTAAAAGCTATAACCTAATGTGAACTCTTTAAATACAACTAATTTGGCACAATTTAAAATCCAGTATGGTAGGTAGCATTAAAGAGCTGAATAAAGAATGAAAAGTATATCTATCCATTATTCACTGACTTGAAAGTCTGTACTTCTTTCACTTACTCTGTTCTCTCTTAATCGAGGAAAACAAAAGGAAAAGATAACTTGCTATGAGGACCTACGTTTTGGCTGTGACGTCCACATACTGTCCAGGACGAAAATGAGCAGCATAGAGAGGAGTGCCTAATGAAAAGAAAATGAAAAATCAATATGAAATTTCACAGCACAGAAACAACTTTATTCAACATAAACTATATCCAGGAAGGCTTCTAGCTATCTGATTTCAAAAACAGTTAAGAGATTCTCTTCTGCAATTAGAAACATCCAAACAATGAAATTATTCAACAAACTTGTCTTTTGAATGACGATGTATGGGTCAGAACAATATGGCCCAGTACAAGGCACACAGTGCTAGGTCGAAGGCACCGGACCATACCTGACTGACCGACTGGTGCCTTCACAGAGACCAAAAGTGGTGCTAGTTCGAAATGAGTGATTCCCATGACAGCACAATGTTCTTGCTGTTAAACAGAAATCTGATGATTCTTGGTTGTTTTGCTGAACAACGGTATACTGAATTAAGATATATGTCTTGTTTTCACATAGGGAAAACAAAAACAACTAAAACATGTTGGGGCTTGATGAAATATCTTGCACCCATTGGAGAAACAGAAAACAATTACTTGTACCCAAGTCCCTCATATGCTGGGTAATGATCCTGGTATGTATGGCATCTATATAAAGCCTCTAGATACCAGATTTTGGGTGAACTACTTACTCATTGTACCAGTAAAATATAGTCCTCCAGTTCATGCCTAGATATTTAGAATAGCAAAAAATTGTCTTTATACTCTTAATTTTATATGGAAACATTTACAAAACTAGTTGTATGCAAATAAAGTCTTACCTTAAATGTACTTGGGAGATATTATTTTAAAAAATTTTAAATTTTGTGATAAATCAAAGCCCTTCATAATATTGTTTACATAAACTTGAAACTAACACTTATGAGAACTATTTGGCAATTCATTAGCAAACATCTATAGGACACTAACAAATATGTGGAGCTACAAATTCAAGAATGTAAGACACGGCCCCTGACAGCGAGAAATATGTTATCTTGGTGAAGAATAAACATTTACATCTTTAAATAAGATACACTTTCTTTTTAAATGCCAGAAATCAATGTAGTAGAGAATGTAACTGAAATCTGATTACAGTTATAGTTTATTTAATATAAGCAATAAAGGGCTGTAGGATTTCAGGGGGGAACCTCCTTTAATTTAGGACCCAACCTGGAATTATATAGGCAGAGAAAAACCTTGAATGAATATAGAGATTTAATCATTCCACATATTATCAAAACATCACACTATTACCCCATATGTATATATAATTATGATTTGACAATCAGAAATAGTATTAATTTTTAAAAAAGAAATTAAAAGTGACCTTTTATGAGGCTGAATTGCTGATTTCTGACTCACAAAAAAATTAACAAAAGTTAATGGGGGCTTAATTTTATCTTTATGATAAACATAAAGAGTTTAAGAAAGTTAAATGTGTTAATACCAACAAGAATATTAAAAAGTGCTTCAGAACTGTCTATATAGCCAAATATTTTAGAATTATCTCTTTATATTTAAAGTATTCCCATTATAAACTATTCTAATATACAATGAATTAAGTACCTCTACTAATTTTTATATTTAATTCCCTTTACTTTGCCTTAAAATTGCAAAACCTTAACCTCAAAGAATACTTTTAATTCTACCTTATATCAAGGCTGATCCTCTGTCACACCAATAAGAGCCTACTGCAACTATATTTTACTTCAAGCAGTTCAGTTCAGATATTAAATACCAAATCTTAAAACAGCATTCTACTACTATCTTCTTGTCAGAACTCGAGTTCAGAGATCAGGGAGCTTTTCTGAAGTTCAGACATCAAAATGTTTTATTTTGCTAATCATATGAGCCAATGTAATCATAGGACTAATCTTTACTCTTTGACATTCCTTGGATTAGGCAAAATACCTTGGAATTTTTAAGTAAGAATCTTTACATTGAGGTGTTATGGTAGGTCCTTTCTGTTGTTATATTTTCTTGAGTTCTATCTAAGCAAGAGCCTATTTTTTAGGAATGCCAGCCTGTGAACAGTAATCTTTGAATTTTAAAAGTTGGTGTATTTCTTTGAGGTGGCTTTTTAAAATGTTAAATTCTCTCTACATTAAAAACCAAAGTGGGGGCCAGGTGCAGTGGCTCACGCCTATAATCCCAACACTTTGGGAGGCCGAGGTGGGTGGATCACAAGGTCAAGAGATCGAGACCATCCTGGTCAATGTGGTGAAGCCCCATCTCTATTAAAAATACAGAAAATTAGCTGGGCATGGTGGCGCGTGCCTGTAATCCCAGCTACTCAGGAGGCTGAGGCAGAAGAATTGCCTGAACCCAGGAGGCGGAGGCAGAAGAATTGCCTGAACCCAGGAAGCGGAGGTTGCGGTGAGCTGAGATCCCGCCATTGCACTCCAGCCTGGGTAACAAGAGTGAAACTCCGTCTCAAAAACACAAAAACAAAAAACAAAAAAAACAAAACCAAAGTGTTCCTCCCTCTTTCACAGAAAGCAAAGAGTTCTCTACAGGTTTTTCTACTTAAAAAAAAAAAAGACTTGTTTGCTCCCAGTGATTAAATCAGATATGGCTTTTTTTATGTAAAAACAAGTGTTTGAGACTATGCATTTTAGATGTAGCTTTACTGAAAGGGCTGACATTAAACAAATCTCATATTTGGGTATTTTTACCTCCCTCCTCTCCTTGACCTCAGATTACCTGGTTTAAGTGCAGCATTATCTGTTATACGAAAGATTTTAACTTTCTGTTTTGGCGGCAATCCAAGTTCTCGGTAAAATTCCAATATCTGTGTAGATTTCTAGAGGAAAAGCAGCACATTGAAAATAAAGGTGGAATTGAATGCATAGAGCTCTAAACCAAGTTATTAATATCCCAGAAAATAAATCAAAGCATACCTTATTCCTTAATGAACAAAGGACACCCAATTTCCCTTGTTTATGGTAGGTGAGATTTTATAGCTATATGTTATTACATCTCCGTGAATAATCTTACTACTTAGATTTCAACCATGTACATAGTGTTCAAATATAGTACACTAGGAAAGACCTCTGTTCTGCAGAAAAATAAAGAGTTGTGCTCATATTTAAATTCCGACTGGAGACTGTCTGTATCAAGAACCTCAACCCCAAAAAACCAACTCTGCCTATTCTGCATTTATTCTCAACTGAAAGAAAATATGGTATGTTATATTTAAATGTTATGTCCACAAACTTGAGAATCTCAAATGTGGCCTGGCCAATCTACCTATCTCTGGTTAAATCATTTTCACATTCTCTAGGGAAACTATGTCACATCCTTTTCTAAAATCTTCAGCCGTTTCCTCTTCCTCCTTGAGTTCATCAAGTGAAAGAATTAAGAGAACTTCCCCACGCTCTTACCAAATCAAACTGTCTATACCAGCACTCATATATTAATACCATTATCCTCCCACCCTACTCTAGGTTACAAGAGATGCATATGAAGAGGTTTTAGAAAATGCCAATGCCAAGGGCACTCTCTTAGAGACTGTAACTTCACTGTCTGGTGTGGGGTCCAGGCATTGCTAATTTTCAAGCACCTGACATGATTTCTATGTCAAAATGGGGTTGGAAATCATGCTGCTAGATGAACTGTCCATACTTCTATTAAAAGCACTAATTCTTCAGACTGCATTCTAGCCTAGGCAATAAAGCAACACTCCTGTTCTCTCTCCCTCTTTCTCTATTTTTTTAAATTTTTCTTTCTCTCTTTCTTTTTTTTCTTAAAAATAAATAAATAAATAAATAAAAGCACTAATTCCTTCACACCTTTCAGTGGTTTCCTCCTGAAATTGTCCCCACTCTCTTCTAAAGAAATTTTCCTTTTTTCCCCTTTCTATTGGAACTTTCCTATCACTATATAAACATGTCACAATAATTCACATATTAAAACCAACTTTTTCTTGACCACATAATCTTTAGCTAATTTTTCTGCTCCCCCTTACAGCAAAGCTCCTTGAAAGACTTGATGAGTCTACTCTCTCCTCCCATTCTGTGAACCCAGTTTAATCAGGCGCTTTCAGCCCCTAGCACTCAATGGAAGTGCTTGTCATCCACCAAGGATCTCCATATGGTCAACCACACTGGTTGATACTCACTTTACTGAATCTAACAGCAATGCTTATAACACAGGTCACCCGCTATCTCTACGTAAGACTTTCTCTTGGCTTCCAGTTACCACTCTTTCAGTTCTCATATATGTGAATATCCCCACATTTCTAACTTCAATTCCAAATTCTACTTTGAACTATAATTTATATGTCCAACTGCCAAGTCATTATCTCCATTTCAATGTCATACAGAAACTTAAGCTTAACATGTCTAAAACTGAACTCAACTCCCTTCACCAAGCCAGCCCTTCCCTGGCCTTCCAAATTTCAATAAAAAAGGCAACTCTATAATGCTTCTGTTTAGGGCAAAAATTTTGTAGTCACCCTTGATTCTTTTCTTCTTCACATTCCACGTCCCATTCATCAGCAATTCCTCCAGATTATTTAAAAATACAGTCCACACCAACCACTTACCATCCCACCCAATGTCAACCCTCATCTACTGTCTTCTGCCTGGATATATATATATTTTTTGAGACGGAGTTTCACTCTTGTTACCCAGGCTGGAGTGCAATGGCGCGATCTCGGCTCACTGCAACCTCCGCCTCCTGGGTTCAGGCAATTCTCCTGCCTCAGCCTCCTGAGTAGCTGGGATTACAGGCACGCGCCACCATGCCCAGCTAATTTTTTGTATTTTTAGTAGAGACGGGGTTTCACCATGTTGACCAGGATGGTCTCGATCTGCTGACCTCGTGATCCACCTGCCTCGGCCTCCCAAAGTGCTGGGATTACAGGCTTGAGCCACCGCGCCTGGCCCTGCCTAGATAATTTAAACAGCCTCCTAACTGGTCTCCAAAATTCCAAACTCCTGACTTTCTAGTCTGTTCTCAATTCACAGGCTGGCATTATCATTTTAAAACTTGAGCTGTATCATATTTATACAGTGGCTTCTACCTCTTGCAGAATCAAGTTCTAAGTCCTTATCATGGTTTAAAAGGTTCTACACAATCTGACCTCATCTTTCACTCTACTCTTGAATCACCCTGCTTTAGAAAAAATGCACTCCCGTATTGGCCCAAGAACACATCAAACACAGGCCTCAAGACCTTTGCACATCCTATTGCCTCTGCCTAGAATGCTTTTCTGCCCTATTTTTGCATGACTAGCTCCCATACATAAATTCAGGTATCCATCAAAATATCACCTTATATAATTAATCTGAAATAGCACCATTTTTTGTCACTTATCCCCTCAAACTTATTATTTTATTAAGAAATATTACTTTATTAATATCAGTTTTTTAAGCATACCAGGAAACTTCTGAAAAGTCCTTTACATTTTTAGTACCACCCTTCAAAGCACTTATCTTCATGTCATGATACACATTTTTTACTGTTTCTATGTCTTCAATGACAGCAGTGTCCAACCTTTTTGGTACCAGGGACTGGTTTAATGGAAGACAATTTATCCACAGACCAGTGGAGGCAGCACGAAAAGTAGCTTCAGAATGAAACTGTTCCACCTCAGATTATCCGGCATTAGAGTCTCATAAGGAGCATGCAACCTAGATCCCTTTCATGCACAGTTCACAGGAGGGTTCATGCTCACATGAGAATCTAACACTGCCACTGATCTGACAGGAGGTTGAGCTCAGGTATTAACGAATGCTCACCCATCTGCCGTTCACCTCCTGCTGTGCAGTCTCCGGTTCCTAACAGGCTACAAAGCAGTCTGCAGCCCAGCAGTTGGGGACCCCTGTTCTATGCAACAGCCTCCCCATTTCACCCCCAAACTTACCTAAATGTAAACTTCCTGAAAGCAAAGACCTACTTTAGTTGCTGCTATATCCCAAGCTCCTGGTAGATCCTGCTGTCTGCTCTCCACCCCTGCCTTCTGTCCTGCTATTGTAAATATCACTACAACCAGTGTCATTAAAAACAAAACCTATGGACATCTTATTTTCTTATAATTCCTGGGTCTTCCCCCATCTTAATTCTTACGACTTGATATAGATTGCTACAGGACTTGACAAAAAAGTTATACCCCTTTATATTTCCTGATGTAAAGAGTGCCTCTTTCATCACAATATAACTAACATAGGTATATCTGTTTTCCTGCTCTTCCTTCTCTCTCTACTGTCTAACCATAAAGAAACTGCAGGCCTCCAGTGGCTATGGTACTCTATGTATGCTTACCTGGATCTATCTGCGCCACTCTCTTTAGCTGTGATTTCCTCCCTAACCCTGCATCTCCAAAGCTTCAAAGTTGAGGAAGAGGGAACAGCAGGTAGATATATCTGTGTTGGTTTTATTCTGGTGAAAGAGGCACTCTTCACATTGGGAAATATAAATGCATGTCTTTAATACTAAATTCAGTTATATTTCCTATCTAGACCCCTCTCTGAGCAGCCTTACGAGAGCACATTGCTCCTTTGTCTGTAACAACACTAGACACTGAATGTATCTCAATTATTGCCCGTATCACAAATACTTATCCACTCACATGTTGGTCAGCATGCTGACCTGTGAGCACCTAGATAGCAGAGGCTGTTTTTTATTCATCTGTGTCTCTAGCTTTATAGCTAAGTACAGTAGCAGGGACGAATGGTAAAAACAAACAGAAGATAAAGGACAGGCATCCATCTGGGTATAAAGTTTGTCTAACTCCTCCCACTTTTCTATTCTGCTGCATCAGTTCTTGGAACAAGACATTACTGTGTTTGTGGTCTCTATCTTCAGGTCTAGTTACTGTAAAATTATAAGCCTAAAATATGTATCATGACTTACTCTGAGGATGAACAAATCGGCAAGAAGCTAAACTATTAGAAAACCAAACCAACACTTACTCATAATTTTAAACCAGGAATAAAAAAACCCTAACTCACTCAAGATGACACTGATAATAACAAAGTGTCCTCCCCCCAAATTCCAATGGAGTGCTTGTATGGTCAGACTTCTTTGTAGAACATGTGAATATTCAGTAACCTTTAGTTACTTGCTCAGTTTAAAATGTAAACCATTAGTACCCCTTTATAACTTACTCAGTTGCCTATAGGTGAAAAGAAATTGGGTGGCACTGGCCTGTAAGCACAGAACTTTAATTTTTCTATCAATCTACAACTTAATAAGAATCTCCCTGGAGCTCTCCAGTGGAGCCATACAACAAATGCCAAGAAGCTCTACTTTGATGTCCACTGAAGACTATTTTATATATCATAGAGTTCTCCCAAGAAGCTAACTTTTCCTCCACAAGAGTAACACAAATTCATCCCAATCATTCTCTATGGTTTTATTTCCCACATGCTGAAATCTAACACTAACACCCAACACCACAATTACCAAGTCCCCTGCTTTTCATCTTCAATCATACTCACTTCTGCAACAACAGCAAACACAAAATTTTCATTTAAGAGTATAGATCCTTGAAATTATTTTCCTGATGTATCAATTTCAGATTTATTAAATTTTGGAATAGTCTTCAAGCTTATTTTTGACATTCACATATTCACATGATTTTAAAAGCATATTATTATTTTGTTAATGCCAAGTTTAAGAATATCTGGAGGCTTCTGAGAAAAACCCTTTACTTCTTTAGTAATACAAAACAGACAATATAAACATCTCAACCTAAGTAACTTTTTAGACTAAACCATAAAGAACCCAGGTATAACATACTTCTTAATTATCATCCAATTTCACTAATAGTGAGTACTTTTTTCTTTTAAAATCAAAATATTATAAAACTAATTAGGTCTCAGTCAGGAGGAAAACCAAATGCTCAAGTAGAGTTAAAACCAGAAGCAGTGTAAAAGGCTTTTTTTTTTTCAAGCTTCTAAATACGTAAATGACTTCAAAAGGCAATTTAAAAGACTGACAGTATTGTCACACTTGGATAATCCCATCTATGAGTTTGCATTCTTTTCCCCCACTTCAAAGTTCTCTGCAATTATCCTTCCCACAATGCAAATGCCTCTGCTCCTAAGATGAATTGATTTAATCAATGTTTAGGACCACTTGACTTACTCATTCAAAAACACTATGTACCACATCAGTTTTTATTTATAATAAGGCACAAAATAAAAAAGGCAATGTAGTCTAATTCCTTGGAGGCATAAATTCTTTACAGATCAAAAAAAAAGTACTAACACTATCATAAAAAAACTGATTTAATTATTTCCAAATGTTAACATACAAAATTTTATATTCATAGGTCTTCATTTTTAAAAAAATCCTCTATAATGAATCTACTTGCATTTTCTCTGAGAGCTATAATATGGAAGTCTGTATACTTTTAGTTTCAAAAATCTTTTTCATTTTCAAACAAAAATGCTTTACTTACAAAGTAAAACTTCATTTTCACATTTCATTCTGAATAAAGGTCAGTTTATAGACAAGGCTTTTTCTTGATACTGTAATAAATGTTATCTGGACTCAGAAATTTTGTATCTTGAAGAAATCACACAAGGAGGGCCTTTGCAGTACTTTCTATGCTAGATAAGTGAAATTTATGTAAATTAAGTGGGTCAAAATCCACTGCAACATTAGAACACAACATCCAAATCACCCTGCTGTGCTATATAACCACTGAGGAGAATAAAGCTATCAGAATAAGCTAAAGAGAAAATGTATGAATGGCTTCAAATATGAAAATGTAGTACCTAACATTTCTATAATTTTTAAATTATTATTACTAAGCTATAGTAATACTGTTAAGTATTTTCATAAAATTTGATTATAACACATCTTCATCACTAAGTAAAATAGAGTAAACAGCTCCCAAGTACTTTTTTCCCCCACAGTTGTTCTGGAGAATTAAAATCTTCAGAGTACCAAATGTGAGACTTTCAGAACTAAAAGATAATTTAGAGACCATCAAGTCCTATTCCCTTTTTTTATGAGTAAGAAAATAGATTTTCAAAAGGTGAGTAAAGGGGACCTAAAGGTAGAAATCAGGATTAGAACTCAACTCCTCTGATCCCACATCACTGGTTTTCTCACCAACTCATATTTCAGAGGGAGCAATCTTTACAGACCTGCTGGGAATGGATTACCCTAGCATGCTTGATTTAGAAATATCAAGGTCATGAAGTCATCAATTTACGAAACTGGTAATGAAAATGAAGATGATCACACTAGTCATCACAAAAACACAGAAGTACAGTCAATTAGAAAACAGTGGCTTCTATCAAACCAAAGAATTATTCATATGAAGGCTGGTACATATTAACACATTTTTAAAAAGTGAAACACTTGATTTTTTTTTAAAGTTCCCATAACTATCTCATTGTACTTTATAATTACTAGGGAGTTATTTGAAACCTAAGTTTGTTAGTCAATAAACTGTCAAGGATGGCAGGATAGATATTATTATAAAGCTTTAAAAAAACATAAATGGACTATACTACCATAATATTCAAAATAGCTAACTTTTCTAACACAAAACAAAATAAACCATGTCACAGATTCCAATGACTTCCACCACCACTCATTGACCAATCAATATTTCTCACCATTTATAGAACTAAGATTTCCTGTGAACACCTCAAACAACTCTTGCCTCCAAAGCTTCCCTTCTTTGTTCCTATCCCAGGGTATGGCATCGGCATTGACCTAGCTGGATCCTCCCACCCATTCCTTTCCAATCCCTGCACCTTCCACTCTCAACACAACTGGGCTTGCTTCTAAAGGTTCTTATCAACTCTCCCCTGGTCTCTTAAAACAATCTCCTAAAAAGTCTTCCCTCCTATCAGATTTTTTAAATTTTAGTTAATTAATTTAACAATTTGAACAACTTACTGACCTAGTTTAAGAATTTAGAAAGCTCCTCAAAGTCTACAAGATGAAGTATGAACTCCTTCACACACCACCTTGACAGCTGCAGCTTCACGACCCTCCCCCAGCTGGCTCAGGCCTGCACACTAAAATGCAGCCACATCACACTTCTCTTCCCAAACACACATGCTCTTGCATGTTGTCTCTGCTTTTGCAGAGGCAATTCTCTCTGGCACGCCTGTAACACCCATTTTCCTTTCTGTTCTCCCTGTGAAACCTCCTGGGATTTTCCCTAGCAGAACTGGCTGTCTCTGGTTCTATGCTCCTTGGATTTATAGTATTGTACTGGGATGGCTGGTTTATTTCCTCACTAGCCTATGAGTTCCCAGTGGGTAGATATCAAGACACCATTAAGTAAGGCTCTGAAGTCTGTCACTCTGTCTCTTCTTACCAGGGGTTGACTTTGAATGAGTTTGGTAACTGTGTTAGCCTCAGAGGCTGAAAACTTTACGTAAGGAAACAAATGAAAAAGGTCTAATGCTTATGCACCTGACATTCAATAAAAGTTAACTATGATAAGAAAGTAGAGTAGTCAGTAGGCACACAATAACAATCTGATAGTTTTGACAGTCAGAGAGTATGGGTTGTATCCTAATTTCTGCCATGTTCATTTCGTAAACAATTTACAATGACAAAAACAAGCAACGTGTTCTAGTAAACTGAAAGGTGTTTAGTGAAAACCATCACCATTTCAAGAAAGATTTTCTGGTTTTAGTTATTCAGTACAGGATACTCAATGGGCAGCTTTTCCAAACTTAAAACTACAAACTCAGTACTCTTCTCAGAAAAAAAATGCTTGATTAAAAAACCTGATGTGGGTTCATATACAGCTTTCTCTCAAAAACTGAAAGCTCCTTCTAGAATATACGAAACTAATTTCCACATGTTCTTTGTGTCAAGCATTAAGACAATTTTCCATAGGAAGAAAGTGAAATAAAACATAATAACAAAATAACCAAATCTACTGTCTACTATATTCCAGGCACATCTGAAAAGCCTAATTTAATCCTTGTGATAAACCTATTAGGGAAGTAATATTTTTATTCCCATTGTACAGATATACAAACACTACAGCTTTGAGAGGTAAAATTACCTGTTCCAGATACAGGGAGAAGTATTATAACAAACTCAAAAGTCTCCCAGACTCCTGGGCAAAATGGCTGGGCCAGACTGCCTCCCCCAAATACATAATTTACCTCACAAATAAATGCAAGTTTGTGGCTGTGGAACAATCTTGAAACATAAACTCATCCAGATTTGAAACTAATGAAAAAATGCAGTATTCTAGCTATGAAAATACGTCCTTACATGAAAACGTGATACAGTTTTTCCTCCGACAGACAGAGCTGCCATTTTTCCATCATGGTTTTCCTTTGAAATATATTTTAGGACATGACAGTCTCGTACCTAAAAATAAATAAATAAATAAACAAAGAAACAATTGTGCCAATATATATTTTAACATCACAAACCAGCCACATTGAGACCTTAGGACGAATAGGAATTCCCTACAGTTACTTACCTCATCTTTCCTCTAACACCAACCACAATCTTAAAAACATAAATCTTTAAAGGAAATGATTAAATACAACATACAGAAAAGAACATAAATATATGACAAAATGAGTATAAACAAAATGTACAATGTAACCACTACCCAGTTCAAGAATTAAAATCCCAAAAGCCGGTGTGTGTCTCTCCCCAATCACCAACTCATGTTTTTATCCCAGAGCAGGAGTTCTCAAAGTATAGTCACTAGACAAGCAGTGTTAGGATCCCCTGAAAACTTAATAAAGATGCCGATTCTCAGGCCTCAATTCAGACCTAATGAATCAGAATCTTTGTGTTTTAGAAGACCTCTAAGTGATTCTGAGGTTCACTAAAGTTTGAGAAGCACTGCCCTAGAAATAACTCTTGACATTTATGGTAACAATTTACTTTTTCAAATAATTACTATATGTGAAAGTATCGCTTAATAACACATTTAGAATTGCCTGCTTTAAACTTTATGTAAATGGAATCAGATTTTACCTACTCTTCCATGTCTTACTTCACTCAACATATTTGTAAGGTTCATCTATACTTTGCTCTATTCTGTTCATTTTCATTGCTGTACAGCATTTCACTATGTGAATATAACATGAGTTGTTTACTTGTTCCACTGTGGACAGACACTTGGGTTATTTCCAGTTTGTTGGGATTAAGCGTGATGCTACTGTTATCTAGTAATACTTGGGAGTGGAATTGCTAGACTACAAAGCTTACCTGTCTCAATTTTGCCACATAATGCTAACATGTTTTCCAAAATGGTTTTGTACCAATTTACAATCTCACCAGCCATTCCTGAAAGCACCCCCAATTTCTTCAGAGTTCACAAAACTATTATCTTATACTTGATCATTGAGAGCCAATAATAATTTGCAAAGGGTCTACAGATTCTTTGTGCCTTTTTAGCACTCCAAAGCACTTAGGTGCGTGAGCTCTTAAATAATCATCACCTGTATCATTACTTGCCTAAGACTAAGCCCCAAGGATCAACTGAGTTGTTCAAAGTGATTTGGAAGTGATAATCTCTTATCAGTGATCTTTCTACAACAACAATAACAATAATAAAGACAATATTAGCTAATATTCAGCGGACACTTAACATTGTTTCAAGTGCCTGACATTTATCATCTTGTGCAATCTATACAACAACCTTTTGAGGTAGGTCATAATTATTTCTTTTACAGAATAGAGTATCTTTTACAGATGAGGCGCAGTATTCTAAGGAACACAGCCAGCAAGTGGCAAAATCAGGACTGCAACTCAGGTATTCTGGTCTCAGGACTCACATTCTTATCTGATAGAGTATAGCTTATTTTAGCAAACAAAATACAGCTTCACCAGACAAGAGTATTATATTCTGTTAGCAAAAAGATCAAAACTGTAATTTGGAGTTAAAAGAACTCCATAAAAGAATATAAAATGGGAGTGAGATTTTTTCCTATTATAAAGTAAACAAGTGGATCTGTAAAAAGCTAGGTTATACTTAAAAAAACAATTCATTGCTCCAGTTATCCCAACACCAGTATCAGAAGGTCATTGCTCAGGCAAGGGTCAGAACACTCGTGAAACCATCGTTAAGTTCTTTAATACTACTTATGTTCAACATTACCCCTTTCTCCACCATACAGTTCCATGTTTCAGGATACAAATGCTTGTTGAGGTTTACACAAACAGATCTTGGAACACATAGATATCCCTTACATTCTTTCTTACCTGAAGTAACGTGACCACGTGCCTCTGACCATCCTTAGTCCACAAAGGCATCATGCCCAGCTTCACGGCAACAAGGCCAACTCTAGAGGAACCTGGCAATTAAAACCAAAGCAATGTGAACAAAAGCTTTGTCAACATTTGCCAACATGATGAAATCGTTTTTCCTAAAACAGGTTTCACCATGAGGAGCAGGCATGTAAGAAATACACTAATATATTCACAGAGTAAAACAGGACTGTTCTACTGGCATGACACTGGTACTCAACGAATATTTGTAAAACGAACAAATATAAATGTATGAAATAAAGAAAATAGATAAGTTAGAAATAATAGCATTCATATAGGGCATGATAAATGCATCATTTTGCTTTCCTACTATCAATTCTTATCCAACTTTATTCACTGGAAAACATCTATCACTCATACCCTAAGAAGCCAGCTGAGGCTATAGAGATGCCACAACTGGTCATATATTGCTAAAATGTCAGTCTACAACAAGACACTTAGATTTCTTGCATAAATTGGTAAAGTTGCCAAAGAAGTTTTGTTAAGTATCCAATTCAACTGTCACAATAAATCCTAACCAGGAACCACACACTCAATAGAAAAGGCCTTATTCTTCTTGGTCTGGCCACACATGGGTTTAGCAACCTACTGGACACAAAGAGCGGATTCAGGGGTTATGCTTGCCCAAGCTACAGTGCTAGAGCATCCCAACTGAACATCCAAGCAATGCATTACAATTTACATCATACTCTTCCAGCCTTTCTTTCCCGACTTATATTCTTTTCAGCTGAGGTAAACAAAAGAATGTATGCAGAATGATTCCCCTTTCACCTATAAAACAGCTTCTCAAGGAGATCTTTATTAATCACCAGACATTCACTAAAATTACACTAGGAAGTTGGAAATAAACTTGCAAAACCAAACCACAATAAAACAGACATAGCACATGAAAAATAAATTCAAGAAATGATAAATTTATCAAGCAGTCACTAGATTTTAAATGTGTCCAGCCACACAATAATTAGGAAACGAGAGCTCATCAAATACAAAATAATCACCTGGTTCCCAAGGATGTATAGGCCATGGTTCATCTTTCAGAGGACACAGTTTACTTGCTAACTGGGCTTTATCTTCATCAGAGACCAACTGCTTAATGAATGGGACATTTTCTTCAGAAAGATGCTCATCCCACCAAGTAACACTCTTTCCATGAAGACTTCTAACAAAAAGCCAGAGGTGTGTTCTACAAAAAAGGAAAAAAATAAATAAATAACCAAACCACAATTTAAAAAGTTCCTCCATTTAATACAGAAAAGGGAAGTCACAAATTCGAAAGTGTAGTCAGGGCCTTAGGAAAGGGCTTGGATTCTGTACACCTTTTTTCCATCCTTCCAAACTCTCCCTCACCGCCCCCAACATTCCTTCTGATAAGGCTCACATTTAAACTGTTAGTGGTTACCCTGGAGAAAAAAAATTTTCTCCTCGCAGATAAACAGATGCCCCCCTCCATTTCCGCCGAAAAACCCAGTCCTACCTTCAGAAATGAGAAGCCACTGAGCCATGTGAACATGTACCTAACAGTTTTACTTTCAGTGGAGGTGGGAGGATGTGGCATACTGATCGTCGTGTAATAAGCTCACCTCCTCCCTGCAATAACACGGCCTAGGTTCAAAGAAGTGAAGAAACTGGGTGTGCAAAGTTCAAAGATACAAAAAAGGCATACCTACGAATAGGTAAACGTACCAAGAAAGACCTTAGTGAGTGGAGGTCAGGAAGGAGTTTAATTCTTGCATGGAGGGTAAAAACAGAAGTAAAGTTTTCTGCAGTCGACTCTCCTTTTGTAGTTAGGTAAATTTAGGTTAGATTCCCAAGTTTCCACTTACTAGTTTGAGTGGCTTTTGGCGCATTAACTCCCCTCTCTAACCTTCAGTTTTATCTGTAAACCTTAGTTTGCAGACGTGAGGCTACATGAGATAAGGTACCTAATACACATAGCAAGGTGCTTAGTACCTAGCAAACACTCACTAATTGGAAGATATGATTGGTACTATTAGCATTTGTTGCTAGTGGCTGGCTCATAAGCGTTTTTCAAAAATCACCACTTCAATCCCTTAGAACGTGCTTCCTTAGATTAGCGGCCTTTACTGCTCGGTGTCCCACGTCTGAACAGAGCCCCTTCCTCCTCCACCCAAGGGAGCCCCAACTGCACCAGGCCACTCCACTGCTCCAGGACGCGGCTGTGCACGTAGGAGACTCTCACACACCTTCCTACCTGTTCCCCGGGCCCAGAGCAGCACCCAGGCCGTCCCCGACTCGACCCAACACCTGGGCGCCGACCTGCGTCAGCAGCCTCCAACCCGGCATGGACTAGCTGAGGAGGACGACTTCCAGGCGCCCAGCCGCTTTGCTTTCAGGGTGTCCCCACACCACAGCCACGCGGACGCAGCTGCCGTAGGGGAGTCGTCGCAAAGGCTGCCAGCAAATGCCCTCCGCGACGGAAAGAGAGCCTCCGAACCCACTTCCGTTCCGTTTTACAATGAACTCCGGGCACTGGAATCACTCCCCGGAAACTAGAGTTCCGCTTCCACTGTAGTCCTACTTTGGATCTGAGTTGGAGTAGGTAGGGTGGGCAGGGACTGACTTGCCTCTCCAGGGGTAAAATAAAAAAGGATGTTCAGAGTTTACATTTTAGAAGAATAAGGACAGACTTCCTGAGGACGCTAAGGAAAATGAGAACACTTCTAAATAGTGCCCATTGTGGGGCAATTCATTATGCTAAGCAACTTTTGATAATTCTGTATTTCTTAATCATAAAAAATGGTCCTGAAAGGAAGTAGTTATTTTTCTATTACAAATGAAGAAACGGACTTGGAATTTAGGTGTGGTCCAAAACAACACATCTGGCAGAGGAGCAGAGTTGGCCCTGAAACAGGGTTGGCATGTATTAGCAATAGACTACAGCCATAGAAATAATGTATGACTTCCAGGGCTGGATCATAAAACATACTGTTACTTCAGATTTTGTCTCTTGTATTGCTCCCTATGGTGAAAACTAGCCATCATTTCTTGCAGACATTTAAACAGCTCTGCAGAGAGGACCATATAAAGAGAAATCAACTAGCAGCAATGACTGAGTCATCTAGGAAGTGGATCTCCCAGCCCTAGGCAACCTTTCAAATGTCTGCAACTCATGAAGATGTTAAGAAGCCAGGCAATTTATGAATTCCTGACCAGGAGAAATTACTAGAAAAAATAAATGATAAATGTTTTTTTGAGTCATTAAACTTTATGGTAATTTGTGATGCAGCAATGGATAGCTAATACACCTTCCGTACAAACAATCTCCTATCCTGGGTTCCAGTTCCAGCCTAATCACCATGTATGAGACTAGGACATTTATTCTTCTACTAATTCCCTTATTTGTCAGATTAGTGTTTGTAGACATTTGGAAATAAGAACTTAAAAGTGTAGCTATTTGAACCCTCTCTTTTTACTAGAGGTCTGGCTATCCTGGCTTAACAGGTCTAGGCAATAGTCAATTTCTGACCATTACTTGGACTTTAGTAGGCTAAAAAGCCTTTGCTTTGCTTGTCCAATCATTCCATTCATTGCTTTTATAGTTACCTTAGACACTTTTCATTAACATTTTAGACCTTGAAGGAAAAATGACATCTCTTTATTCTAACCATGCTGCCTTTCTTCCCAGATACTTAAAGATGGCTCTTCATTGAACAAACATGTTTTGAGGTGTGCTACATGCAATAAATTGAGAATAAGAAGATTTCCATACTATTGCAAATAGCTAACATTTTTGTGCATATAGTGTGCTAGAGTATGTGCTTAGTATTGTGGAAGCCCATCAGCCAAGATTACTAGGAGAAAACGTGAACTCATACAAAGTTGAGTTTAATTAGTTCGATGCAGCAAGAGGCAGCATATGTCTGAGGATGTTTTCAAAAGAGTGACCTGGGAGGGGCTTAAAATGAAATTTGGACTTAATGCTGAGTGATTTTAAGGTGGCATCAGAGAAGCAGGAACTTGTTTTGGAATGGATGCTGTCAAGAAGAAAGGACAGTTGAGAAATTGGACATATTGACAATCTTTTTTCTGGAGAAAGGAAGAACAGAGCAGGAGTGGGCATGATGTTTGTAAGAAAGCAGCAATCACTCAGAATAAGACTGTTAGTCATTTTGCAGCAGTGGGTGTGGTCTACAGTATGGTCTGTTAGAAGAATTGTATTGATGTTCTGCTATAAAAACTGCAGTCCAGTTACTAATAGTATTCATTTTTACTCTCTCAGTATATTTTTTTACTTAATGTTTATAACAATCTGCTATGACAATACTATTATTATCTGGATTTTACAGTCGAGAAAATAGGCATACAGAGATTATATAATTTACATAAGTCACCCAGTTATTAACTGGTACAGCCAAAGACTGTGACCATAGAGCTTATGCTTTTAGACATTTGGTTTCTTTGGCTTTCTATGAGAAACATGAAATCCCTTTAAGGCTAAAGAGGAAATTGGGAAGTGAATATATCACACACAATGGTCAGTGAGGATTGAGGAGTTAGCCATATGGTCTCACCTTACCCCATAGTATCAAATATCTTCTAATCCAGAAGGAGGACCTGGACTCAATAAAACCCTCAGTGGCACCACTGCTGAACTGAATCAAAGTAAAACACGTGTCTCCTGATTGCCAGCTAGGGTTGAGCAGTGTCATACTTGATTTAGTCACTGCAGTATGCTGCTAATTGACAGTTACCAGTCCCAGTTCTCAAGGGACCCAGCCTAGACTTTTCTAGGGTAGTCAGGCACTGACCTAGAGCTTCCTGTTATTTCTGATGTTATCCTTCAGAAACTGCCTTAGACTCTGAAACTGTAATGACATTTTGCCTCTCTGCACCTTCAATTTCTCATTGGAACAAAGATTATTTGCACTATCTCTTTTTAGTATTACAGTTCTATAATTCTTACTCCACTAATTCAGACCAACAGATGATATCATAAACCTTCTCCTAATAAATAAAACTTAGGAATAGATTCATTTTGAATCGCTAAAGCCATGTTCAATGTTCTGTTGCCTGCTGGAATTTTGAAAGGCCATATTGCAAAATCCACAGATACTCATTCAATAAGAATGAATTCTGCTTCAGTGTCTTTCAGTAAGGCCGAATCACAATTTGTAACTTTAATATATTGGTTTTAAAACATGACTTTTACTTGTAAATTCCCAAAGAAGCCCACAGACTGTAGGGTTCCAAGAGATGATCAGAATCAAAATACATTTGTCTTGAAGAAAGCTTAAAAAACTGTTTTAAAGGCAGTATGGCCATGTAGTAATCTGGGTTTAAAGTTTCAAAACTTAATGTAATTATACCAATGTGCGTTTTTTAAAGTTCTTTGATTACTTAGCAAAAATATTAGAAACAACATAGCACCACATTCCAGGGAAACAATCCTTTTCAAAAGGACATCTCTTCCTCCCTGGTCTTCCTCCCAATGCCAGTGGAGTTCTGGTAGCTAGAGTGTAGCTCTAGACCAGTGAATACTCTGGTCACCTAGAATCATAATCAGGATTACCCCTCTGAGCCATGCAGATACGGAATTGGAGAAATTCTAGAGACTGAGTTCATTTAGGATTTTGATTCCACTTGGAAGAGTCCGAGGGGTTCCCAGAAAAATGATAAATATTAACATTTGCATTGCTTTTGCTAAGCGGCAGACATTGTTCTAAGTGTTTTCCATATATTAACTTACTTAATCTTCCCCTGTGAAGTGGGTACTGTTAGTCTCATCCCTATTTTACAAATATGGAAACTGAGGCACAGAGAAGATGAGCAGGCATTCAAGCACACAAACTTTGCATTTGTTAAATAAATGGTGGAGCCAGGAGTTGATGCCAGGCAGGCTGTCTACAGAGTCCAAGTGCTTAATGGCTCTGCTGTACTGCCTCTTTCCCTAGAATAGAAAGCTGCATAGCACATTATTGGAACACTCAGCTCAGCATCCAGAGGTTGCCCCAGACCAGGAAAGATTGATAATGATAGTGCTAAGCTGGCTTCTTTAGGAGTCTGATCAGTCTGTAGCAGAATCAGTTTGTCTCAAGAGAAAGTGATGAGTCTGAGCTGCTTGAGATATTCAATCATTCAATTCCTGTGCAACCTCCTTGGAGGCTTTTCAGAGCCCACATGATGGTGTAGGCCAGTGATTCTCAACCCTGAATTTACCTGGGAATCTTGCTAAAATGCATAACCTGATTCATTAGGTCTAAGGTGGGATCTGAGAGTCTGATTTCTAACAAGCTCAAGATGCTGTCGATGTTGACCACATATTGGGTAGCAGCATTTTAAAGAGGGCTGTGAACTCAGAGTCAAGAGACTTGGGATTCAATCTCAGCCCTAAACTTAACTTAGTAGTGTGACACAGAGAAAATCACTTCCTCTCTCTGTCTCTTCATCTGGGTGATGGCAGAAAGCATGGTTTGTCCAGCTAAAGCCCTGTCCAGTCTTCCTTCTGGAAAGTAAAAAACAATAGTCCCATTATTCTAAATATTCATGTCCTAATCCTTGAAATCTGTAAATGTGCTTTATTATATGACAAAAGGGGCTTTGCTGCTGTAATTAAGGTTTTGAACCTTGAGATGTGGAGATTACACTAGATTATCTGGGTGGGCCCAATCTAATTACATGAGTCCTTAAAATCTGAGGACATTTCTGGGTGGTGAGAGATGTAACAATGGAGGAAGAGTAAGATAAATGCAATGTAAAAAGAATCAAACTAACAGTGTTTGCTTGGACGATGGAGGAAGGGGTCCACAAGCCAAGGAATTCAGTGACTTCTAGAAGCTAGTAAAAGCAAGGAAATAGATTCTCCCATCGGGCCTCCAGAATAGAATGCAACTGTGCAGACACCTTCATAGTAGCCCTATGAGACTTGCATAAAACTTTTGACCCCTAGAATTGTAAGATAATAAATTTGTGTTGCTTAAGCCATTTCACTTTGGGTGCTTTGTTATAGCAGAAATAGAAAACTACTATAGGCCATTAAGCCCAAAGTTCAAAATGCTGGTAACTCATAGAACAAACAGAAATCGATTTTGAAATATTTTGAGATATAACATCAAGATTTAAAAGAAAGCTGTTGTATTTTATTTATTTTTATTTATTCATTTAGTTTGAGAGATGGAGTTTTGCTCTGTCACCTAGGCTGGAGTGCACTAACATGATATGGCTCACTGCAGCCTCAAACTTGTGAGCTCAGGTGATCCTCCTGCCTCCGCCTCCTGAGTAACTAGGACTACAGGTGTATGCTACCATGCCTGGCTAAATTTTGTAGAGACTGGGTCTTGCTGTGTTGCCCAGGCTAAAATCAAACTGCTGGCCTCATGTAATCCTCCTGCCTTAGCCTACCAAAGGGCTGGGATTACAGGTATGAGCCATCACACCCAGCCAGTATTCTATTTTCTAGTTTTTTTTTTGAGGTCTAAAAAAGTTATTAGTATTAGTAACATCCCAAAAGCAAAC